GTGTCTATTGAAGCATTCATCCGCGTCTCCGTATAAGGCAACCTCGGCAGAACGTAACCTCTGATCAAGTTTTGCTTTTGATGTGGGTACGCTACATTGCCTCAAAATGAGTCGTATTCTCTCGGTTACTCAATATTAAATGAACGTAATGTTAAATAGCATTAGAGTTACAACCTTCTTTGAACCTCAATTTTGGGCGGGTCTCCTTAGTTGTCGATATATCCACGTATTCGAACTGAACGGTTTTCGTATCGTGTACAGCAAAGGAGTGTTTTTTTTATGGAATAAGGGTGACAAACGGGCACACAATGCTCCTGAAGACAAGTGAATACTGTGGCCCACAGATATATACATCTATCCTTTATTAATGATCTTCGTCTGCATCACCTTTTTACATGGTAGAGCCATGCTGCAGCTATATTACTGGTATAGTTGTAGCACGAATGGGTCGGCTCGACCGGAGAAAGACCACGCTCTCACAGAATACCAGCGTAAAATAGCAGCTTAATGCTGCTGTGTTTCGTATGGTAAGTGTAGAGAACCGGAGATCCTTTTAACTGGAAACGAGGCATTCCATCTTAGTCCTCACGGGTGACAACGCATCTGCATTTTGATTCGTAATCGAGGATAGATGTAGATGTCTATGGGCCACAGCAACCACTTACCTTCAGGTGGACTGTGTGCTCGTTTGTTACCCTTATCATATAAAAAAAACCACTTACCAACAAGTGGGATTGTAGCCTTATTAACACTGCCTCTTTGGTATCTATAGTGGCCGTGGACGCGACAACTGATCTTGTGTTCCCACGTTTGAATCGCGGGTCGGGCCAGTATCAGTTATTAGGTTTTCTGTTAAGAAATTTAATATATCCAGTCTTCCCTATCTAAAAGAACGTTTTAATATGCTCAGCTCCTGTAATTATTTTTCCTTACGGCCCAAGCTAAAACCTTCCCTCCAATGTCCTGTATACTCCTTGAAATTTTATAATAAATCATTCTCTTTGTCTTTGGAACTTCTTACCCCAATCAAAAGTTAGAATTTAAGAAGTTAAAAGTGCTCAATCCTTCAAGTAACAGGTTAAGAAACACTATTTGTCTCTCTAACCCCTCTCGCTTCCTCCTTTTATTTATGGTCACTGATCTACATAAAGAATGTTGTCTTTTTAGTAAATAAGATGCCATCCTTACTTACTTTAGTACACCCTACTTGTTAATCTTTCTTTTATTTTTATTTATTTCTTCTTCTGGGTTGTCTGGAAGAGATTGCTGTAGCAATAAGACCGCCTTTAGTTTTTCCCTCAATATTTGTCTATTTTTATTATCATTTTTTTCTTTCCTTGGTGTACAATAAAGAGTAATTAAAATTTTTTTTATAGGATAGGGTGACAAACGAGCGCACAGTCCACCTGATGGTAAGTGGTTGCTGTGGCCCATAGACATCTACATCTATTCTCGTAGGCGAATCAAAATGCAGATGCGTTGTCTCCCGTGAGGACTAAGATGGAATGCCTCTTTTCCAGTAAAAAGGGTCTTCGGTTCTCTACACTCACCATACGAAACACAACAGTGTTAAATTGCTATTTTACGCTGGTATTCTGTGAGAGCGTGGTACTTCCCCGGTCGAGCCGACCCATTCGTGTTAAAACTATACTACTAATATAGCTGCAGCATGGCTCTACCACGTATAAAAATTTAATTCCCAGTAGCAACACGGAGTCAGTAAGTTGGTGATTTTTGAACCCTGTGCCTCGGAAAGCAGTAAGTAGCGGATCTCCCTCGAGTCGTATCGTATTGTCGTCTCATCGGACTATAAGAGTGAGGAAATAGAGTACCAATGTTTGCGCACGCACTTATCCCCTATATATTAAAGACTGTCTCCGTTGATACTGGCCGCCGTAACCAGAACTCTGGTCTGGAGGTCATTATTATTATTATTATTATAATGAACACCTGCTACCAACTTCATGTAAAGAATGTTACAGAGCCTGTAATTTTATTGGTTACCTAACCACTTCAAGAGGTTGTCCTAATTCATCCATTCACTACAGTCTAACAAATGTTCACTGCTGAACGTATGCCTCCAACATAGCTTGCCTCATTGGGGGTACATTTTTTGCTCCCTAATAGAGAGCATTAGCCATGACTATATTCGGGATTTACGTCCTCTTTCTCACCACTCACTTTCATGGCGAAGTTTTATTTTCGTTTCGGTGTTATTTGTCGCCGTCCCGCTGGGCCAAAACATTGTAATTTATGTTCAACATAAAGTAAACAACTATATGTCGTCAAGTTGGGTAAGAATGTCGTTAGAATTATTATTGTTAAACTACAACTAGAAGTTTTTTTACAGTCTCCTCAACGACAGGAGATTTCCGCCAAAAATATTTTAAGTAATCTATCTATATATTATAATAAAGCGTAAGAGTTATATACAGTTATACATATAGCCAGATTCATGAGAAATATATATATATATATATATATATATATATATATCTAGCATTAGGCCTCGCTTCTCAGCCAAGTAAATATGATTACTAGAATTGGATTCTAGTTCTACCGGGTACCCGGCAACCGGACACCGGTACCCGGCAACCGGACACCGGTACCCGGCAAAATTACTCGAAAGCATTTGGAGGCTAAAAACCGTGTGCTCTGATCGCTAACCTAATTTTACTTTACCGCAATTTACCTGTAACTTTGAATATGTATAAAATTTAATAAGTATATCTTTATCCATAGTTTTATTTAAACTTGGTTAAAGACTTGATTGTTATAATTGTGTAGAAAAACTTAAAATGTTTTGTTGTAAGAGGTTTATATTAGTTTTTTTTCTTCGACTTTACTTAAATTGTTAATATCACAATAAGCACGCTGTCACCGGGTACCCATACCGTAACAAACAGGGTATTTTATGTATGTATTTAACATATATTTTAATCGTATATAACCTATTCTAAGCGCATTTAAAGGATTATCATTACTTACTTACGTACCATGGTAAGATATTGTCTGGTGACTTAGAGAATAATTTCTGCGAATTTAATAAAATAAAACAAAAGATTTTTCTTATAGAATAATGATTATAAATATATAGAGAAGAATTAAGAATTCCATATTTTTAAATCAAATCAAATAGTTTATTTGTGATTCACAGGTTACAAAAAGATATTATTTAAATACAAATAAAGTACAGTCTGTGATCAGCCCCATGGGCAATCAAATGTCAAATATTATTAATAGTTAATTGATTACATTATTCATAAAAATAGATAAGATTATTAGATTAAATTATTCATCTTAAATAATTATTCATATTACATAAGATTATTCATATATTATTAGTTCAAAATTATTAGTCGTTGGGTTTATTAAGCATAGAAGTTATTAAGTATTTGTCATGTAATACAGTCAACCGGACATTATCTCTGACACTCGACAAAAATTCATCAGTAGAATAAAATGAATGTTAAATTAGAAAGTGGAACATTTTATCTTTAAAAGCTGTATATCGTTACACTGTTTGATGTTATTCGGGATTTTATTGTATATCTTTGAAGCCATAGCATACACACTTTTCCCATACAGGGTAGTTTTATATTTTCTACCAAGGTTATTATATAATCCGCTTCTATTGCGAAATCTCGAAATCTCTAGTTTAAATAGTATAGTAAGCAAACATAACTCTTCGTCTCCCCAGCCACAAGAGATTTTCGCTGAAACTATTTTGAGTAAAAATGTAATATTCAAAAATGTAAAATTGAAAATTTTGCACAACCGACTTCAATATATGTAAATAAAATGAGAACATCATTCATGTAGTCGACGTCAATTAAATTCGCATTTATTAAGGATAACTCAAAAACTACTGGTCAGATCTTGATCAAATTTGTACATGAGAAGAATACTTAGGTATTGCGAAAACTAGATATACAATCCCATGCAAAAGATCTCTAAAAACTGTCACCAATTGTTATGACACAATTCTAGTTGAAATAAACATATATTAATGTAAATTCAACCTTAAATAAACTACACTAATGTTGTATTCACAAAGCTACGTACAAATTAAAAGAGCACCCAAATGTTCAAGTGGGCGCTCATCCGGTAAGGATGTTGTTGTCACTGATTGTGTATCTAGTTTTTATTAGTGATCGATGGGTAATTGCGCAAAATTGTCTTACAATTGACTTACTTTTTTGATATTAAGTTACGTTAGCACCTTCGGACAGTCAGCTGCAAATTTTTTTGTAGATTTATAAAACTGTTAAAGGAAATGAAATCAAATACATTTTTAGCCGTAGAAGGAAAAGTGGAGATCTCCCGCCGAGCAGAGTATTCAGTCTTAGAAACGGCTAAAGCTCTGCGTGCTAGTACAGAGCTAATCTATACATACGAGTATACACCGCAGTACTTCGAAACTTTGATAGTGTGATTTAGACTTCGGTGCATCTCATAATAATAATAAGCAGACAAAATATCTGGACCTGGCTCACGAAGTGACCGACATGTGGGGTGGTCTGTCGGTCGAAATTATTCCTGTAGTTGTTTCTGCGAACGGGCTAATCCCAGTCAGCCTCTCAGGTCATCTGAGGCGACTGGCACTCCGTGACGGACCGCTCCGGACTCAGATGCAGAAGGCGGTGTTCCTCGATACCGCACGCATCTTCCGCCGGTTTCTTTCCCTTTCTTCCTAACCCTCGGCCGTTTGGTCTCCCCTGCCGAGGGCTTCCATCTGGTTGGGTTTTTATATTGTTTATGTACTTATTTTATTTTATTGATTTTTATGTATATTTATCATTTTCATTTACATTTATATGTACATATAAACAGGCCAACCAGATGAGAAAACTATATAGATACCCCACATTAGAAAAGGATTCAAATTTGCGACCCCAAGTGCCGCATTCAAATGCTTAGTCATTGCGCTACAGAGCCGTCAAAGTGTACATGTAAACTAAACTAGTGTTCTTTTAACTTAATGTTTTCTTTTTCAACAGGAAATGCGTAGAAAAAGAGCTAGATTGCGTAGCGATAGGTAGCCGGCTTCGGGGGCCGATGGGGACGCGACCGCCGGCCAAATTATGGCCACAGCTCTGGGCCACCGTCGTTCGCAGCCTGCTACTCAAGAAGCGGGACACCAGAAAAACCCTCGCTGTGAGTTTCTTTGTTATAACATATATAAATATAATATTTTAATAATAAATAGTTTTTTCATAGAATAATCTTGAAATACGAGCACACAATCCACCTGATGGTAAGTGGATGCTGTGGCCCATAGACATCTAAATCTATCTTCGATTAAGGATCAAAATGCAAATGCGTTGCCACCTTTAAGAACTAAGGTTCTCTACACTCACCATACAAAACACAGCGGCATTGAACTTCTATTTTACGCTGATATTCCTTAACAACGTGGTTATTTCCCGGTCGATCCGACCCATTCACGCTAGAACCATAATATAGCTGCCGCATGGTTCTCGTTTCGTAATAGGTAGACAGTTGGAATTTTAACAGATTTGTATTTTTGTTGCCGCTGTAACAACAAATAATAAAAATAAAAAGAAATTAAAAATTAAAGGGGACTCCCTGCTAGAAACGTGTTTTACGATGGTACGGAACCCTTCATGCACGAGTCCGACTCGCACTTGGCCGGTTATCTGTAACTGAACTGCTTATCTGTGACAGCAAGAATTTTCCATTTTTTAGAATGGGTGACAAACGAGCACATAGTTTATCTAAGTAGATACTGTAGTCTATAAAGTAAAGTAAAGTACAGCCTATATACGTCCCACAGCTGGGCACAGGGCGCCTCTCACTTCTGAAAGGATTTTAGTTTATAAACACTTATCTGTTCTATCAACGATTATGAATTAAAATGTAGATGCGTGTCAATCCCTGAGGACTAAGATAGAATGCCTTGTTACTAGGAGAAAGTGTCTCCAGTTTTCTTCACTCATCACACAATCAAAGCAGCATAAAGCTACTGTTTTACGCTTTTATTCTGTGGGAGCTAGGTCCTTGCCGGTTCGAGCCGACCCATTTGTGCTGCAATCACAATATAACATATTTTAAATTCAATCAAAGTAACCCATACAAGAGTTTTTAGATTTCAATAAAACGTTATAAATCTAATCAGATTATGTTAATTTAATTAGCTTGCAAGAATGCATTTTAATCTAATCACGCAACTACGAAAGCGTCGGAAAGCATGCAATGAAAAACAAACTTCATTTAGTTCTATGTTTAAAAGAAAAAGTATTTTCTTTTTATCTCAAAGGCCTGTATTGCATTGCTATTTTTGTTTTGTAGTTCGATTATTTAAAATTGTAAAATTGAAAAAAAGTTATACCTAAAGAATCTTCGCCCGCAATAGAGCCACATATTGCAGCGTAAAGGAACATAATATTGCATATACACTTTTTCTTAGCTCTCAGAGATGACAACTTATCTGCATTTTGATTTTTAATCAAGAATAAATGTCTTTGGTCTCAGTATACACGTATCATATGTGCTCGTTTGTCACCCTCATTTCTTTAAAGAAAATATCTTAAGAGTCTACAGCCAGACATAAACGCTATCGTAGGTTTATCGTTAATAAGTGTTACAATTCGTGGTAGTTAGAATTAGCGACGACAGCCCGGTAGACAATCTCCGACTGGATATTTTCTGGATATAAATTTATGTGTTAACTTTTCTGTCTGTCAGGTATTAATTTACCTTTAAAACTGCTTGATTTTCAGGAGGTGCTGGTTCCCCTTTACTGCCTTGGTGTGCTGATCTTCTTAAAGGTGTTAGTGCCGAACCCCAACTTTCCAGAAGTGAGGAAACCAGGCCGGCTGCTGCGCATACACCACGATGCGTTCCCCGAGAACCATTCAGTTGCTGTTGTGGCCGATTGGGAGACTGCTAATGGAACAATTGTAAGCTATTGTTTTTACTTACATAAATCAAAACATCTGCTTCTGCATAATGTCCTCCAGACCAAATTTCGGTCACGGCGGCCAGTCTCTACGGAGACTAGCCATCGATGCAGGATAGGATTATTGTGCCCAAGTATATGCGCAAGCACAGGTGCACTCTCTATTCCATCACTCTCATAGTCCAATGGAACGGTAAACCGACACGACGGGAGACAGATCAGGCGCAGGATCAACGGCTTTACGTGCATTCCGAGGCACGGGGGTGAGACATCGCCAACTTCCTGACTCCGGGCAGCTACTGAGAATTTATTTCAACTCAATAACTGATTATTTTGGCCCAACCCGGGATTCGAACCAGGGACCTACCGATCAACGGTCGCAATACTACAACCACTACACCAACTAGCTAGTCCATAAGCCATAAGCCCCTAAGCAATACGCTGCTTCCTTACAATGGGCTCTCACATCGCTTGGTAATCACTACATTAGTATTGGCTATCTTTTCTTTTTTTACTTATTATGAGCCAGTTGGTGACTACAATACCACCTGGTGGTAAGTGGTGATGAAGCTCTAATTGGTAAATCGCACTGTCTTAGCGTGACAAAAGCCTATTCACTCTTGCCTTGAAGACGCCGGCAAATTATTCCACTTCTTTGCTGTACACATTACAAACGATGAAGCAAACCGTTTCTAATGCGTGGAATATCTACCACAAAGGGATGAAGACTATCGCAGCATCTTCAAATAGAAAAAGGAAATCCTCGTTGCTTGAATGGTTATTTTAGATCTAGCATAAATATGACATATATAAGCGCCATCTATTAAAAGCTATAGGATCTTTCGAAGGTTTCTTTTATTCCCGCTAGTTACAATGGGGAGACGTATCAACTTTTTAAGTTGTACAAGCATCCAAATGATATTTAGGTATGCCTAAATCTCTAGAAATCTTTGAAGTGATAATTTCAAAACATCAAGCGCTACAACAATTTACAAACTAATCAAATGTTGTCTCTCCAGGGATTCCTCGACGAGATCAACAACTTAATGATTGACTCGGGACAGCACGCCATCAACTGGATCCATTATAACAACACCACGGACCTCAACGACGCTTACCACCTCAACGCCCGGCACTTCCCAATCGCTGTCATCTTCCACACTGACCCCAGTACCTTCGGTGAACCGCTCAGGTAACAAGTCTATATATAATCATTTCACACGATAATAATTCAACTACTTATTTAGCTATTTTAGATATTTATCTAATACATATATATAATATGTTATAAGTATTTGTGCTGTAAAATCGTTACTGTTACCTAATATCATGTTGTGTGCACATGTTTTGGAATACCATCCAGATTGTAACTTTGCATTTATTAAATTAAATAAAATTAAAATTAAAAATCATTTATTTCACATATCCAGTCCATATCACACTTCATAAATACACATCGTAATTAAAATATTAGATTTAAGTTACGATGTTAATTTTATATGAATTACATAAAAAAATATTTCATGTTTTGATTGTTCATAAAATTAATATTGTTTGTTCGTATTTTATGCGCTTTCGTACCGTTAATCAGATTGCGTTAAAACTTCATCAACTTATTGCTTGCACTTGCGCAAAGGTTATAGGCATAGTACAAATAACTTACAGTAGGTGGCGCGCGTATCGTACTTGCAAACTTATTTTAAAGTTGTATATCATTGAGGTTCAATCAATATATTATCATTCCTAATTATTTTTTTTATAAACAATATAATTGTACCAAATTTAAAACGATATTTCCACAATTTTTTATCTGTGGCAGCAACGCGCCGTTTACCAGCTAGTAAATAAATAAAGAAATTACTGTTGCATTATGTCAAAGTGGCAAAAAAGTGGTGTGTAGGCGCGAACACACATGGTCAAGCCATATTAGGTGTCACCACGTGTAAGAGCGTTAATATATTGTGACTCGTTAAGCCACATATTTACGCTTGGGCTATTCTCCTACCTACAGCTAGCTTATTTTACAAATTTAAGAGTGTACATTACCGAGGTATACAATATACATAGGTATAGTAACTCTAGACGGCTAACTATTTTGAATGATCTAGCTTTTAAACGTAGAATAAAAAATATCACATCGTAAACATTCAATAATTTTATATAAATTAGTTAAATTTAGAAGAAAAATGTAGTCGAAGAAAAATGTTTCTTTGTCATTATTTCTCGTCAAAAAAACATTTAAAGTATTTTTTACGTGGTAGAGTCATGCTGCAGCTATATTACTGGTATATTTGCAACACGAATGGGTCGGCTCGGCCGGGGAAGGACCACGCTCTCACAGAATACCAGCGTAAAATAGCAGCTTAACGCTGCTGTATTTCGTATGGTGAGTGTAGAGAAACGGAGGCCCTTTTTACTGGAAATGAGGCATTCCATCTTAGTCCTCACGGGTGAAAACGCATCTGCAGTTTGATTCGTAATGGAGGATAGATGTAGATGTCTATTAGCCACAGTAACCACTTACCATCAGGTAGACTGTGTGCTCGTTTGTTACCCTTAACATATATATAAAAAAAAAACATTTATAAATAAGGAGTGAGTAAATTTTGCATAAGAGTAAAATATAATGTTCATTCACCAGATACACAATTCGAACCAATCCATCTCACGCTGGCACTCCCTCTACCCGCACATTGACCACGTCGCCAGTAAAATGCCGGGAAAGGCCCGCCGTGAAGGACTGGTCGTCCGACTGGTCGCGAGGAGGCCAACTGATCCCCCTCTCCGAGATGCACAGGGAAGACACGTGTCCCGTTCTACAGTACTACTACTCTGGATTTCTAGCTCTGCAGTCTCTTATTGATTACATTAAAATTAAGGTAAGTATACTTATTAAGTTCAGCGGGTTGAATTACAGACAGGCGTATTATTTTATTAGAAAAATGCAAAAAAATACCATTCTTTGCATAAATTAGTAGATTGCTTTAATCTTTATATATAAAAATTACGTGTCACATTGTTTGTCCGCGATGGACTCCTAAACTACTGAACTGATTACAATGAAATTTTGCACACTGTGTGCAGTTTTATCCAACTTGAGCGATGGATAGTTTTTATCCTGATAAGTGATTCTCAATTTTTTTTTTCATTGCTATTCTCAGGAGTTTTTTTAGGAAAGCAAATGGTCGTCGGAAAGGGCAGAACAACGTCTACCTGGTCAGCTAGTTTAGTTATAAAATTTTCTTTCAAAACTTAAACTGTGTCCTTTATTACGTAAATTTATAGTTGCAAGTTTAGCATATTAAACTACGATCGCAGGTTCATTATAATATGCTATATTAAAAGTAAGTAAATAGTAAATAATATTACATACAATACAACACAAACAAATTAAATTAAAACATAAATACTTCTAATTAACATAATAAATAAATTAAAGGAAAAAAACGTTATACAAAATTATACGGTATGTAAAGCTTAATTTAAGTAAAAAATAAACTTATATTTTTAGATCACTCGACTTAATTTATTTTAGGTAGTATATATGATTTTATTGTGTATGACCACTACACCAACAAATAAATATAAACATTAATACACACACTTACACAGACACCTCGGACAGCTCCTGGCATTTCGATCACAACTTTTTTATAAAAGTGAAATAACAAACGAACATATAGTACACCTGACAGAAATTGGCTACTGCAGTTTATGGACAGCTACAGACAACTTCACACAAAGGAGGCTACGAATATGTTATCAACTCTGAGGACTAAGATGGAATGCCTCAGAGCCTGTAGCTATACTGACTCTCTATATTCTTCAGACTGGAACGCTGCAGTGCACTAGTATTTGACGTCAGAAATAGGTCATAAGGTGGTAACTTGTTAAAAAAATAAGAATCAAAATGCAGATTTTTTACGTGGTAGAGCCATGCTGCAGCCTAGTAGCCTAGTAGTAGCATAGTAAAAAGTGGACTCGCCCGAACAGGGACTTGAACCCTGGACCCTTGGATTAAAAGTCCAATGCTCTACCGACTGAGCTATCCGGGCTATAGCTACCCTGTTGAAATTTTTGTTTACATTCAAAATCTTTTCTAATTATTAATTAAATTTTAAGTATATAGTATTTATTACGTGGTAGAGACATGCTGCAGCTATATTAATAGTATAGTTGTAGTACGAATGGGTCGGCTCGACCGGGCAAGGACCACGCTCTCACAGCAGACCAGCGTAAAATAGCAACTTAACGCTGGTGTGTTTTGTATGGTAAGTGTAGAGAACTGGAGACCCTTTTTATTGGAAAAGAGGCATTCCATCTTAGTCCTCACGGGTGACAACGCATCTGCATTTTGATTCTTGTTTGAGGATAGCGACAAGCTTTTATATCATTTAAAATGTGTAATGACTTTATTGGCATCGGCCATTTAATAACGTATTCTTTTATGTTGTCGTACATGAAAAAAGCGTCTAAAACTAAGTAATTATTTCAGATCGATACCGGTTCTCCCCTTCCACCTCCAAGGGTCGACCTTCGGCAGTTCCCAAAACGGCAACACACCGGCGACTGGCTCGTCATCTTCAGAGTCATCATGCCTATGTACATGGTGATGACATTATCACAGTTCATCACCTACCTTTTGATGTTCGTGGTTGGTGAGAAGGAGAAGAAGATTAGAGAGGGCATGAGAATCATGGGCTTGAAAGATACTGCTTACTGGTAAGTAGAATGAAAAGATTTTGACATTTTGTCAATGAAAGTACTACAGCGGTTTTTAACCTTTGTCACTTTCATCATCATCATCATATTTGTCATCATTACAGCCCATCAAACGTCTACTGTTTAACATAGGACCAAAGGAATACCACACTTGTCCTGAACCCTCTGCATCCATCGACTTCATGTATCTCTCACCAGGTCGTCTCTTCATCTAGTGGGCGGCCGTCCGGTAGTTTGCTTACCGCCTCGTCACTTCAATATGAAAAAGACTTAAATTTTAATGGTGGTGCTTGAGCCGCTCTAGCCGTTCATGTCGATATTTCTTGCTAGTTAGCCTGTGTTTCGTATTTTCGACACAGTGAGAGCTAGGGTTGCCAAACGTCATTTATTTTAAAGGACATCCTCTATTCCAGACCCGATAATCGTATGTGTGGAAAAGAATAATTTTGTGACGACTTGATCCGCACACCCGTCCTTTTCTAAATCCAGCTTGCACATCCTACATTTTTCCAACAGTTTCATAGCATACAGTTTACCCACAATGCTAAGCAAGCTGATACCACGGTAGTTTTTACAGTCCTGCTGTGACCCTTTTCCCTTATATATTAGGTCTATAACGGCTTTGAACCAGTGTTCCAACTTCATTATTTCATCTACCCTTATCTCCCTACCTCTCTCCACTTCTTTCGGAATTTCTATTTCACTTAGTTCAGACGACTCTTCACTCATAAACACGCTTTCAAAGTATTCCTTCCATCTCTTTAAACTCGAAACTTCTTCATTCAGCATACAGCCATTCTCGTCTCTTATAACATTCATTCTAGTTTGTCTGTTTTGAATTTCTCCTGGCAGTTTTTACGAGTTTCCAGAACATTTTAATATTTGTCTGGAAATTATCAGATATCCTTCTATCATTCTTATAAGTTCTTTCTTGCTTTTTCTTTCAACAACTTCTTTTACTCTCTTAGTTATACGTCTAAAGTCTACCTGATTTCTTTCAATATCATCATTCATACCACCAGAATTACCAGCTTTGATAGCTAGTAAATCTAGCCATGCTGTCTTCTTTGCTTCAATTTCCATCCGTATCTCATCATCCCAACACAACGTTTCATTTTTCCTGTTATTCTTTCTCTTATTTACACCACATATTTCGGTGGCTGCATTCACCAATAGTTTCTGAATATTATTCCCTACAGTTTTCAAGCCTAAATCATTCAAACACAATTCATTCAAATCACTTATATTTTCCTTCAGTCTACATTTATACTTCTCTTTCACTCCTTCATCTTGTAACCTCTCTGTTCTTATACGCTGTAACGCAGTGGAAGACAATGTCCGATGCCGCCAACGCCTGAAAATGCCATTAATTCGGCATAAGACCAAGTAATTATCCGTCCCTACGTTGGACCCCTGGTTAACTCTTGTATCTACCACTGCGCTCCTCATTCGTTTTCAGCCACAATTCATCCACAATTATGAAATCTATCATGCTTCTATCATCACCTCTTTCCCATGTATACATGTGAATCCTCTTATGATGAAAAAAAACCACACTAACAGCAAAACACAATTGTACTACTGATCACTTTAGTTCCCAATTGTATCGCTTCTAAGTGTTTGCTTGTATCGCCAACTGTACATTGACTCCGGTCGCGGTCTCAGATAGTTCCAGAACCTTATACTGTAGAAACATCTAGAATGTTCGAGTACATACCGGTCCCGGTTCACTAGGTGTCGATAGTTCTAGAAAGTTTTCTATGGAAATTTCTAGAAGGATCTTGACTCTCCTAGTTCTGGCACTCGATGCTAGAGGGCGCTAGTGGTACTAGTTGCCATCTACTTATTAATGTTGGTGCTCAACAATATCATATTGAAATGTATTATAAATATAATATTAACTTTTACTTAAATTTCTTCTACTATTATTTATTCTGTGCTTAAATACAGTTTTATATACACATTACAGTGAGCTAGTCAAGGTTTCGGTTTCGACCGAAAATACAATTCATATCGAATTTCGTTTCATTTTTCAGCTGATTTTTACGTGGGGAAGCCATGCTGCAGATATATGGTTGTAGCACGAATGGGTCGAATTAACGCTCTTACAGAATACCACAGTGCAATACATACCTTTTCCCTACGAAACGAAATCGAGGCATTCCTTCTTAGTCCTCAGGGGTGACAACGCATCTGCATTTTGATTAATAATCGACGATAGATGTTAATGACTATAGGCATCCACTTATCATTAGGTGGACTGTGTGCTCATTTGTCGCTGATATACTATAAAAATAGCCGAAAAAATTATTTACTACCAATTATAATATATTCCAAACAGAATATCACTTAAAACTGAATGTTTCAGGGGTTCCTGGTTCCTAATATACGCAGTTTTCGTTACTATACTGTCGATAGTTAGCACCGTCCTTCTGTTTACTTTAGGGGTAAGTACCTAACTCATTTATATCGTCCATTTCCTATTCGCGCCCAATAGAATAGAATAGAATAGAATAATTTTTTATTCAATATACATTACATGTGTAATTCTTATTGAAAGTCATTTTTTACTTTACCACTGGTTCGAAAAAAAACCCTCTGTCATGGGAAGAACCAGCAAGAAGCCCAGCGGGACTTTTTTTTAAATAAATTTTACAATATAAATTATTACGAACTATTTACAAAATTTATTTTAGAAATTGCTTGGAAGCGACCACCTCATTCCCAGGGGTTATTATCAACCATGTATTCATTTATACTATAATAACCCTTTTTATACAGTTTCAGTTTAATAAAACATTTAAATTTGGTAATAGAGAGAACCTGTACACTTTCCGGGACCTTGTTGTAATAGCGTATACATTGCCCCAAGAATGAATTACTGACTCTGTGGAATCGAGAAACTGGCATCACTAGCTTGTGTTTGTTCCTAGTGTTTACAGAATGTATATCACTTTTTTTACTAAAACTATCTTTGTTTTTGTGAACATACATTAAATTTTCGTAAATATACTTAGAGGCCAAAGTTAATATATTTATTTCTTTAAATTTATCTCTAAGAGACTCTCTCGGTTTTAGATTGGAAATAGCTCTAATGGCCCTCTTCTGTAAAACAAAAATAGTTTCTGAATCAGCCGCATTTCCCCATAGCAAAATCCCATAAGACATTATGCTATGGAAATAACTAAAATAAACTAATCTAGCTGTCTCGACACTAGTGAGACCTCTAATCTTTTTTACAGCATAGGCTGCAGAACTTAGTCTGCTTGCTAATTTGAATATATGGGGGCCCCACTGAAGCTTTGCGTCAAGAGTGATGCCAAGAAAAACAGTGGATACAACAGGGCTCAATTCCTCCCCATTTAAAAACACATTGGTATTCAGATTTTTAACATTCGATGTTGTAAATTTAATACAATTAGTTTTATTTCCGTTCAAATGCAGAATATTAACGTTAAACCAATGCACTAATTTTGATATAGTATTATTCACTTCGTCACATTTAAATGATTGACGTTTAAGTTTAAAAATCAAGGAAGTATCATCAGCAAATAATACTATATCATGACTATCCCCTACAAGGTGAGGTAAGTCATTAATATACACCAGAAACAGGAATGGGCCGAGAATCGAGCCCCGAGGAACACCCATTAGTACAGGTGACCCGGAAGAACTTTTACCATTGATAATAACCTTCTGCTTTCTATTACTTAAATATGAAATAATAAGTTTAAGCGCTGTGTTCTTGACACCATAGTACTGTAGCTTCCTGATTAATATCTCATGGTGAACACAGTCGAAGGCCTTGGAAAGGTCACAAAATATACCCAAAGCATCCTCTGAATTCTCCCATGCACAAAAAATATGTTTAATAAGCTCAACTCCAGCGTCAGTTGTCGAGCAACCCCTTGTAAAACCGAATTGATTTTTATGTAGCAATTTATTAATGTCAAAGAAACTTAACATGTGATCTAAAATAATTTTTTCAATAATTTTACTTAATGTTGGTAGTACAGAAATTGGTCTAAAATTGGCGGGGTCTAATGTACTACCAGATTTAAATGTAGGTATGACTTTACTATGTTTAGTTAAATCAGGAATGTACTGATAACCACTTAACGAGATCATTGATAACTGTGTAGTGACGGTGTAAGAATATCCACTATCCCATATCGTCCCGGGGGTGTCGTAAGAGAACACAGAGGGAAATGAAACAGGAGATGGACAGCAACATCTTCCTGATATCAACTCAATTATACTATAAAAATTATAAATCCTTTTATACGTGGTAGAGCCATGCTGCAGCTATATTAATAGTATAGTTGTAGCACGAATGGGTCGGCTCGACCGGGGAAGGACAGCGCTCTCACAGAATACCTGTGTAAAATAGCAGCTTAACGCTGCTGTGTTTCGTATGGTGAGTGTAGAGAACCGGAGACCCATTTTACTGGAAAAGAGGCATTCTAACTTAGTCCTCACGGCTGACAACACATCCGCATTTTAATTCGCAAACGAAGATAGATGAAGATGTCTATGGGCCACAGCAACCACTTACCATCAGGTGGACTATGTGCTCGTTTGTCACCCTTATTCTATAAAAAAATGCTAATCCAACTGCCAAGCGTGGCAACTACGACAACTATCCCCCCTATGAGGCAATCTGTGGGGGAGGCCAATGCAGTGGAATTTGATAGACTATTATAGATGGATGGATAGAGATAAAGTTTATCTAATTTAAACATGTTCCTCCAGGTGTTCCAGCACTCGTCATACATTCTCATATTTCTTTTGATGCTCCTGTTCGGCTTCACGATCATCACCTTCGCGTTCATGTTGACGCCGTTCTTCGACAGCGCCAGAGTGAGTATAAATTCAAAGATAACTAAGGTGGAGAGTGGAGAGAGAGAGCTAGACTCTACGTGGTGAAATCATGCTGCAGCTATATTAGTATAGTTGTAGCACGAATGGGTCGGCTCGACCGGGGAAGGACCACGATCTCACAGAATACCTGCGTAAAATAGTAGCTTAATGCTGCTGTGTTTCGTATGGTGAGTGTAGAGAACCGGAGACCCTTTTTACTGGAAAAGAGGCATTCCATCTTAGTCCTCATAGCTAACAACGCATCTGCTTTTTGATTTGCAAACGAGGATAGATGTAGATGTCTATGGGCCACAACAACCACTTACAATCAGATGGACTGTGTGCTCGCTTGTCATCCTTATCCTATAAAAATAACATGTACTCTAAACGACACTGCTCATTATGCTACTTTAAAATTATCGAATTTAGACATGGCCATAGGAAATGTGGCTGAAATAATAGATTATTGTGAATATTTCAGACTGCAGGCATCTTAGGCAGCTTCGCGGTGAACCTTATGAGCTGGCTGTATTTCATCCAGGTGTTCGTCTCCAACGCGGACTCGCTCGCCTTCTGGTTCGTCTCCCTCATCAGTTCCAGTTGCTACGCTCTCGCAATGGATAAGGTATTTTATGTATTGATACAGGAATATTTCGAATCCAAAGAAAGAACTTTCAAATTTGTTTGTTTATATTTGGTGTACTATTGCTAAAATTACAAACAAACGTACAGCCTACCTGATGGTAAGTAGCTACTGCAGTTCATAGTCACCTGCAGCCAACAACTTTAAACAAGCAAGGCTTCGAATGCTTTATCATTTATGAGGACATAGTAGAGCCACGCTGCAGCTATATTATAACGGCAACATGAATATGTCGGCTCGACCGGGATGTGATCACTCTCTTATAGAATACCAGCGCAAAAAATCAGTTTCATGCTGCTGTGTTTCGTATGGTGAGTGTAGTGAACCGGAGACCCTTTTCACTGGAAACGAGGCATTCCATCTTAGTCCTCGGTGGGTAACAATGCATCTGCATTTTTATCTAATCGAGGATAAATGTAGATGTCTATAGGTCACAGCATCCATTTAGCATTAGGTGGACAGCGTCCTCGTTTGTCATCTTAATTATGTATAATAAAAAGACTAAAAATAAAGGCAGAAAAGTAGTCCTGCCTCTTAATCTTTAGTTCGGTTGTTCGCAATTTAGCGTTAGGTCAAAAATAGTAAAGTAGTTTTAGTTAATTTTCTACAGACTTCAAAAAGGAGACGGTACTCGACTGTATCTATACCTTATCGGTTGTACAAAATTTTTAATTATTATAATTACCTTCCGAGTTACTTTGTATTCCTTCACCTATTTTTACTCCCGTGCTTTATATAGTAAAAAATCTGATGGCCTCCGAAAGATGGCAGTATAAGTACGAAGTACGGTCTTCATTGGTAATTTTTAATAATTTTCAATGAACAAGTGGTAAAATAAAAAAAATTGTACAACCGATTTCAATATAAATTATTAAGGATAACCTTAATATACCATACCATAGAAATACTATAACACATAATATGTTATAGTATTCTATGAGGATAACTCAAAAATGGTTTTTGAGTTATCCTCAAGTCAGACCTTGATCAAATTTATATGGTACCACATGAGAAGCACCAGCTTTCAAATAATAAAAGAATCATCAAAATCCGTTCACCTATAAAAAGTTCTGAGGAAACACACATAAATAAAAATACCGTATGATTACCATACATAACCTAAAAATAGGTTGATACAAGGGGTCAATGTTTAGACAACTAGCGTCATCTGACGGCGTTTTTGAATGCTATATTTATACAAATGAAAAAGTAAAAAGATCCTGGAATAATTGATTGTCTTTATTGGTTTTATTTAACTCTTACTCCAACTATTAAGTTTTTAATATTTATAAAAAATAATTAAAACTTTTTGGATTTCTAATAAGTAGTAAAAAGTGGACTCGCCCGAACAGGGACTTGAACCCTGGACCCTTGGATTAAAAGTCCAATGCTCTACCGACTGAGCTATCCGGGCTATGTTTACGCTGTTGAAATTTTTGCTTAGATTCAAAAACTTTTCTATTTATTAATATTTAAAGTATATAGTATAATATAATAAAATAGTATATTATGTAACATTATTTTAACTATTTATGTGTATTCTTTTAGATAATATTAGGTTTTATTAAACAATTTTTAATGCAACATAATATACAATATTTTATTAATACAATATTAAAAACTATAATTAAAAAAAATTAAAACTAGTAACTTAATTATCATACAGTCCTACTCCCAGCGGTATCGTGCCAAGAACTCTAGCCGCGTTTTATGTATATTGCAACTAACTTGTATAAGATAAATTAATATGATGCAAGAAAATAAATTATTCACTTTAAAAAACACAATATGAATATGCTGATAACATATAAATATTAATAGTTGGTATAATTAATATACGTATTAACTCATTTTTATATTTTATAGGTACTTTATGCGTCTTAATGTGCTCGTTGAATGTTAACATTAAAATGGGCTATATATTGTATTTAAAGTTTGATTAAGTTAGTGCTCGATAATTTATATACTTCTAAATTTTTTGGTTGTGTTCCTCAGAAATCGATATATGTATATGTAAATAAAAATATTTCTAAACATCTACATTTATCTTCGATTACGAATCAAAATGCAGATGCTTTGTCACCGTGAGGACTAACATGGATTGCCTCGTTTCCAGTAAAAGGGTCTCCGGTTCTCTACACTCGCCATACGAAACACAGCAGCGTTAAGCTGCTATTTTACGCTGGTATTCTGTGAGAGTGTGGTCCTCCCCGGTCGAGCAGACCCATTGGTGCTACAATCACAATATAGCTGCAGCATGGCTCTACCACGTTCAATTGCCGCATGTATGAAAGATCTTGAGAATGGCTGGACCGATTTTGGTGAAATTTTTATGTGCGTTTGAGTGGATCCCTGGATGGTGTAGATTCACACTTGCACCCGGTAGGTGGCGCTGTTTTGGAGATCCAGAAATCACCCGTGCGAAGCCGGGGCAGATTGATACTAATAAAGATACTACAGTTTGTTGCCGATTGGTAAAGGAGCGTGTATCTCCTTCTTCACCAGCCCGTACACGTCGTGCTGGAGTTGAGCCTCTCCTGTTGTTAGGAGGATTTGCCATCGTCACGCTTGGCAGACGTATGGAGGATCGCAATACCAGACGTGTGCACCTTCGACGCTGCTGCCCGTCATTGGTATCGGTATTCACGAGTGACGTAAACAAGATGGATAGCGCCATCTATCGGAAGCCTTAAGATCCTTCTGGCACTCCCCATAGTCGCATCTTACAACATCCTTGAAACCACTGAGTTATATGTACTACGTACTAGAGAAGCTACTCTATGTCTTCGCGCATGCGCGGGAGTAGTGCAGAGTCGCGTATGCGCGAAGAGTTTAATTTAATATAAAATAAATATAAGAAATTAATATAAAATGCTCTTATTTTAATCTAAACAAACATATTTCTAAATAAAATGTAATAATAATTATCTTATGGAATTCACTGACCGACAACCGACTTCAATATAGATAAAATGAGAACATCATCAATGTACATACTTGAAGTCAATTAAATACGCATTATTAAGGATAGCTCAATAACTGCCGGTCAAATTTTGATCACATTTATATGGGAGCAGGTGAGAAGCACCAACTTTCAAATAAAAAAAGAATCATCAAAATCGGTTCACCTAGATAAAAGTTCTGAGGTAACACACAAATAAAAAAAATACAGTCGAATTGAGTACCTCCTCCGTTTTTGAAGTCTGTTAAAAAGGAAGTTATATGATAACGGCTACGAAACTAAGAATAAACGGGTCGTAGCACCAAACCAAATGTTTCTTGAAAATAGGAACCATTATATTATTATTGTGGACGATTACAATTAGTGTCGTAAGACTTACAATGTAAATAAATGTTTAACTATTTTAATTTTTTTACTTACGTAACAAGTGATTATCTAATAATACCATATATATATATATATATATATATATATACAAAACTAATTGGCACGAAGTACTATTTGGCAAGAAAAAAAATTGTGGCTCTTTAAATACTTTGAAATTTTGTAAATTGTAATTTTTGACTCTACCGACTCAAAAGGTTGCCGACCCCTGCCCTAGGCGAAAGTTTATTAACCAATTTGGCGATATATTGAAAATGGGCCAAATTAAGAGTACCCTTAATCGACGAGCATGTATGCGAAGGTATATAGATGTGTAGGAGGTGAGATAAGTGTGTCAGGATCGTGCCAAATAGAAGTTCGTAGTCTCTGCCTACCCCTCTGGGTGTCATGCGTGAGTGTTTTATGTAATTATTATACAATTATAATTTCAAAGTAATTTTTTATTCTAATAAAATTAGGACAAATCTTATTTTTAACCTATTAATAATCAGAGCACCAACATTAGTGTAAAAGTACAAAAAAGTTATGCTAATTATGAACCAAAATTATAAAATGTATTTGTTTATTTTCTACCGACTTCAAAAAGGAGACGGTGCTCAATTCGACTGTAGGTTTTTTTATGTGTGTATGTATTCTATTTTTATTTGAAAGCTCGTGCTTCACATGTGGTTCCATATAAATTTGATCAAGGTCTGACCAACAGTTTTTGAGTTATTCTTAATAATTTATATTAAAGTCGGTTGTACAAAATTTTTAATTTTTAATTATAATACCTATAACTAAGTACATAATATTACAAATTTCATTTCGAAACTATCAAATATTTTTGGACTAACATTTATCCAAAAGTCACAAAGAAAAACCCATTCGTGTGGCCATAGTAATCATAATTATTTTAAAAATAAAAATATTTTAATTTATTATTCATAGGCTTTGGTGTTGGACATGGCGGGCGTGGGAGTGACGTGGGATAACCTATGGAGCGGGCCCGGGGTGCCGTTCGGCGGCAGCCTCATCATGATGGCAGTCGACACGGTGTTGTACGGACTCGCGGCTTATTGGCTCGATGCAGTAATACCTAGTGAGTTTTATTTAAAAAAAAAAAGAAACTACTAACAATGAAGATTCCAGGTAAGCTTAAAATGTTTGTGTTAAAGTGGTTTACCACAGTATTCCAATGATGGATTCGAACCAACGACCTTTGAGTTCGCGGTGCGTACCATTAGGCTACTGTCGCTTTTTGAAGTTGCGCGTCTGTGTTAAGCTACTGAACATTTATAAAAATCTCGTGTTTATGTCAGTTTGCCTGCCTAATGGAGAATTTGTCCCGTGGGGTATCGAACCGAGAGCTATACTGTTTACAGACTTGCAGTTTACAGACCTGCGCGCTTCGCGCTTAAGGCATGCAATACAGTTCGACCAACCGTAATATGCACCAGTCACAATCACACATTGGTGTAACGTGAAGGACACAATTACATGATAACACCAAAGTATGTAAAGCAATAGCCACACTACTCGTCTCAATGTAATACAGGGCAGCCTCTCAGCAACCCGATCTTCCTTGCTTACACTAGAATCTCAGACAGAATCTCAGTGTAGAGGTAATGTTTTAGCCCAACGGGCATAATAGCGGCATGAGACTCGTAGAATTACAGACTGAACTTCTTTTTTTTTTGCGCCCAAAGCAAGACTATCCTCCGGGAGCGGGGGAGGGAGGTCATAGTTTTTTTGTTGGACTCATTATGAAGTGCCTACCCACTAAACACCACTTGTGGGACTGGCTTTGGCCTGTATGGTCTTTCTGCCGAATCGGAAGCGACCACCCTTAGGGAAAGGGGCGCAGGATCTTCTTAGTGGCCTGCACGTTACTTTATACTGCTAAAACAAGTGAGAGATTAACATTCTACCTTCATTTGTTCGTATTTCCTTTTATTTTTTTACCCTCATTCCCGACAGTATATAATATACAATGTTATTTATTAAAGAGTAGTCAAATTTTAAACTTAAGTTCAAATATACCGTTATTGCAGTTTTTGAAAATACGGGTAACACATAATAGAAAAGTACATAAAGTATAATAATATTATTATATTTTGTTATTTGTAATATCTTCCATTTTTCAACACCGACTTCAAAAAAAGGAGGAGGTTCTCCATTCGACTGTATTTTTTATGTGTGTTACCTCACAACTTCTTTCTAAGTGAACCGCTTTTGATGATTCTTTCTTTATTCGAAGAAAGCTGGTGCTTCTCACATAGTCCCATATAAATTTGAAGATCTGACCCGTACTTATTGAGTAATCCTTAATAATGCGTATTTAATTGACTTCGACTACATTGATGATGTTCACATTTTATTTATATTGAAGTCGGTTGTACTAAATTTCTAATTTTACCACTAGTTTTAGGTTTATATAAAACTCTTAGAAGTTATTGTACTGTGACATTAACGTGTATTTAATTTTCTTTTACACGAACTGACAATTATAAGGGTTCCTTGTATATCAGTGGAACCCTAATAAAATACTTTTATGATTAAAACCATTCAAATTCACAGGTGAATATGGTATCAAGCAGAAGCCATGGTTCTGCCTGCTGCCGTCGTACTGGCTGGGAAGTCGCAGGAGCAGGGTGTCCGCCGTACACTTCCATTCTAACGGTGACGCTGCCCATAATAAGGACATCGAGCCAGTTCCTAGGTAAGATCTAATTAAAAATTATCTATTTTTCAACTCAAGTTACCGTTTCCGTTACAGCCTATTAAATTCCATAGATTGTCTCATAGGGGGGATATTTGCCATAGTTGCCAGACATTTTTTTGCGCCCAGAAGCAATTGAAAAGGGCTACCCCGTTTACGCGAGGAGGTGGTGAATGCTTTATGCATACCACGACAGCCGGCTGTCGTGGTTATGTGGGCCTCACTGTGACTGACCTAACCTAACCACCCTAAGTATACCCACTAAACACCACCTGTGGGACAGGCATTGGCTTATGAGGCCTATCTGCCGAATCGGAAGCGACCCTCTTTTGGGAAGAGGGGGCGCAGGCGGCTACGAGCCGCTGAGGGGGAGCCTACTAAGGCAAATTTAAGAAGAGTCGGCCTGAGCCGCCAGGAGGCAGTTCAGGGCGGTTCAAAGTTTCTTTGGCGGGTCCGAAAGAGAGTTTCTCGGCCTGCGGACTCGATAGCGAGAGGGGAGTGGGGCTGCATAAGTAGCTGCCTCACGAATGAAATAATTGGAGAAGTTTCAGACTTAGCAAGCGGTTTGCTTACCGCAGTTTTTAATTTTTCGTCGTTATTAGGAAGACGCTCCTGCGGAACTCCTAATTTGTTTCCCTGTGTAGCCTCTTACGACACCCACGGGATGATATGAGGTAGTGGATATTCTTACACCGCCACTACACGGTAAACTTACTTGAGTAGTCATACCCATTCAATTCTGCTTAAAAGTAAAAAGTAAAATTATTGCCTTCGTCATTTCTAAGGGTTATGGAGCCGTGTAGTGGCGGTGAAAATATCCACTACTCCATATCGTCCCGTGGGGGTCGTACGAGGCGACAGGGGAGGGAAGTTGAAACATGTGATGGACAGCAGCAGGTGCCTATAAAAGTCCACCGCTGAACATAGCCCTCTCACAAAGATCACCTCATAGGGGGGGTTTTGTCATAGTTGACACGCTTGGCGAGCAGGTTGTCAGCCGTTTTTTATTATTGTAAAATAATGCATTAAAATGATGCATTATCACGCACTCTGAATTTAAAAGATAAAAAGGACAGAATGTTTGAGTTTATTTTTAATTAATTTTTCCTCACCATTTGCCTATATTTTTAACTTATTATTATAACCTTTGCTACTTGAGTATAACCTATAAAATTTGGCCGGTTAATGCAAAATAACCCTGTATATAATATAAGGCCATTAAAAATTAAAGAAAAGCTTTTATTACAAAACTCTATGACGCTTATTTATCCATATTTAAAATTACCAGGGAATTATTAGATAAGGAAGCGATCAGGATTGTGGGTCTTCAAAAGAGCTTCCGTCATTGTCGCAAGCCTGAAGTGAAGGCCATCGACGGCATCGACCTTAGCATCTATGAGGGTCAAATAACCGCCGTGCTGGGCCACAACGGAGCCGGGAAGTCCACGCTGTTCAATATCTTGACAGGACTCACAGCGCCCACGGCCGGCACCGCTTATGTTTACGGATTAGATGTCAGGTAAGCTATACTAGGCCTTCAGACATACAAAGAAACCTAAGCTAGTGTGATGTATTCGCCTACAAATTGCCCTGCGGTTTGCCGAAAGTAGTGTAAGAAGTTTTCTTTTAACAAATGATTTTAAACTAGATATAATACGGTGTGTATAGTATATTACTCACGCGTTTCTTAACTGAAAATTTTCACATCTTTTATATAATAAATTTCCGCAAAGTAACGTTTGATTCTACTTATGACCTTTTTCTGTCCAGAGATCCTAACGACATGAACGAGATCCGTCAAATGATCGGTGTGTGCCCTCAGCAAGATGTCTTGTTCGATTTGCTCTCAGTTAGAGAGCATTTGGAGTTTTTCGCAGCTGTCAAGGTAAGATAAATTGGCGGTGTATTTCATATTTGGTTGAGGCTCACAAAAAATGTACCTTATCCATATTTTTCGTGAGCCGAATTTTGATTAAAGAAAAAAATATTTCGGAAGTTCTGAACAAATAAATGTTTTTGTTTCCTGTATTCGATATTATTCACATGTTAATATTAGGCCATTTAAATTGTTATTTTATTTGAATTTAACCAAAAATATTTAAGCAACAATAACAAAATGCTTACTTTTTGTTCTTTGATTTCATAGCGGGGAAGTTAATTTGTGCGGAAAATGTAAAAGTTATTGTTTCTTTGTGTACTGTTAGCTAAATTATATATTAATAACATTAAAAATAAATAAATCAAATAACAGATATTCATAAAAGTAGAAAAATGAAAAAAAAATAGTTAAAAATGTGCAGAAAATTAATGATCAAACCACTGACGCATTGTTTTGGGTATACTCTAGAAACTGGTAAACTTTTTTTTTAAAAAACAACTTTTTAATATTGCGTAACAAAAAAATTTACCTCAGTGTCAACTAGCGACATCTGGTGAGCAGAAAATTATTAGCCCTCATTCGTTACGTCAAGGAAAATTAAAATAATTGTTCTACTGATATTAATTAATGAAATGGGATTAGATTGTTTTTTCTTTTTTAATTTATCGTACCGTATGAGCTTTAAGAGTCATGTCACGTCGTCATTTGAGTAGAAAAGAAATGTTAGGAGCCGTGGGCATGTTAAAAACGCGTCTTTGCTGAGGCCCTACACATCAGCCAAAACGTGATATCAAGGTTGTGGTCACGTTATCGCAGTACTGGGGATGTGGCCGAACGGCACACGGGTCGATATCGTGTTACTAAGCAGAGACAGGATCGATTTCTCCAAATGACCGCCAGAAGACAGCCCAATATCACAGCGATGAATCTACTACTAACGCTCCAGGAGGACCACCAGCTGCTGGTAAGCGACCAAATCGTGTGAAGGAGGTTGCATGAAGTTGGTCTTCATGGTCAAAGACCGCTACGTGTTCCAGCATTGCGACGTGGCTATCGCGGTCGGTGGCTTTCGTGGGCACGGGAGCATTTACCATGAAGTGACGAACAATGGTCTTTGGTACTGTTCACCGATGAGTCCCGGAAAAACCTATCATTCTTCCATTTTCTATATGAGAAAATTCTTCATAGATTTTTAGATATTTGATGAAATATAAAATATCCCTAGATTGTGTTCATGTGTTTATTAGGCGTCACCAGCCCGCTTCGCAGGGCCTTGAGTATAACGTACCTATTGACAAAACCCATACCTCACACCCCGAATGTCGTAGCATTATAAAAGTGTCTTATGTACTTTTTCATTATGAAATGTTGCAGATACCAACCCGCCAGCCAAGCGTGGCAACTATAGCACAATCCTCCTTAAGAGGCAATCTATGGGAGAGGTATATGTTCAATTGTCGACTTTTATAGGTTGTAATGGATGGATGCCAGTTCCTTCCACTTGAACGCATCCAGAATTAAGCGGCTTGAATTGTCGACGACCGAGTTCTTTCTCATCGGCTCGATTCACTGGCGCTGCAGAAGGATGTGGCATCTCTTGGCATTTTCTTTTTTCCGCCTTTTTTATCTGCAAAATTCCCGCCAAATTTCACGAACGCACATCGCGACAAAACTGACGATACCAACCACAACATCTAGATGCTTGGCGGTCCACCACTGTGCGTTTTACTAAGAGTTTTCCTGCCCGCACAACCTCTTTGTGGAATCGTTTACCTTGCGGACCGATACGACTAGGGACCTTCAAGAAATAGCTTACTCCTTTCTAAAAGGACGTCAACGCACCTGCGATTCTTCTGGTGATGCAGTTGTTCATGGGCGGCGGTGGTCACTTACCGTCAGTTGAGCCGCATGACCATTTTGTCTATAAAAAAATGGATGAATTCCCACATTTACAGTTGACCCGCGGTAATCCCACAAACGTCACAGCCCCATGTACACCCAAACTTTTTAAAAAAGAGTATCTTACAATCCGACAAATTACATATCAAAGTGGTCAAATTCTATACGTAGAATAGAATTATTATTCTATATAGATTACATGTGTAATTCTTATTGAAAGTCATTTTTAGGGTTCCGTACCTCAAAAGGAAAAACGAAACCCTTATAGGATCACTTTGTAGTCCGTCTGTCTGTCTGTCAAGACCCTTTTTCTCAGGAACGCGTGGAGGTAAGCTCTGAAATTCATATCAAATACTCACGTCTACTGTCCCTTGGAGCTGTGACAAAATCAAACTTCTAAGCCGACGCAATCAAAAGATACAGCCGTTTATGCCGCAAATTTTCGACATTCACAAGGGAATCAAAACCTACAGGGTACTTCCCGTGAACTCAGAATCTGAAAATTTGGTATGAAACAACGTATTATAGCACAGATAAAGGAAAAATTATATACCTACGGATTTGTTCGGAACCCTCGATGCGCGAGTCCGACTCGCACTTGGCAAGTTTTTTTACTTTGCTACTGGTTCGAAAAAAAACCTCTGTCCTGGGAAGAACCAGCAAGAAATCCAGCGGGACTTTCTTTTAAATAAATTTTACTATATAAATGATTACAAACTATTTACAAAATTTATTTTGGAAACTGCTTGGAAGCGAACACCTCATTCCCAGGGGTTATTATCAACCATGTATTCATTTATACTATAATAACCCTTTTTATACAGTTTCAGCTTAACAAAACATTTAAACTTGGTAATAGAAGTACAAGTACTATATATCATACGATGTGGTTGCTCTATTACTTTAGGATTATCACCCGTGGGGTGATTTGTGGAGCGTTGCTAGAAGTAGTGACAATATTTACCCATAAGTTTTTCCATGACGATGTAATGGTTGATGGGGCAGTGCATTCCAGGAATGTCAAAGTTTGTGAGGATGTATGGATGTTTGTTACTCTTTTACGCAAAAAGTACTGAATGGATTATAAAGCGACCTAGGTACTCGTATTATCATCTAATATATAAAAATTAATATTTAATTGTTCGTATTTTGTGCGCTGCCAAACCGTTCGTCAGATTGCGCTTAATCTTTGTCAACGTATTGCTTGCACTTGCGCGAAGGTTATAGCCGTAGTACAATTAACTTACAGTAGGTGGCGCGCGTATCGTACTGACAATTTAGTTGAAAGTTATATATCATTCAATTTCAATTATTGTATTATCATTGCTAATTAAACAATATAACTGTTCCAAATATAAAACGATATTTCTACAATTGTTTCTTCTGCGGCAGCAATGCGCGGAGTACCAGCTAGTATCGGATAAGATTTTTCGAGCAATACCCACAGTCGCCTCTTACGATACCCACGGGATGTAATGGAGCGGCGGATTTCCTTACGCCGCAAATAACTAATCTTTATAAGTATATAAAATATAATATATATATACCTATAATATATTTTTTACAGAATAAAGGTGACAAATGAGCACACAGTCGACCTGATGGTAAGTGGACACTGTAGCCCATAGACATCTACATGAATCCTCGATTAAGATACACAATGAAGGTACGTTGCCTGCCGTCCCTGAGGAGTAAGATTCGCTACACTCACCATACGAAAAACAGCAGATTTAAGCTGCTTTTCACGCTCGTATTTTGTGTGAGAGTGGTCTTTTCCCGTTGAGCCGACCAATTCGTAGATTCCTAGCTCTACCACGTACAATATTATATTTAAATGATGATGGAGAGTAAGAATGATGAAACTTAAGGTTCTTTGGTAGAGATCTGTAAAAAATTGTAATAAACAGGAATTTAATTCTTTTACAGGGAATTCCCAGCAAACGATTGCCAGATGAAGTGCACAAGGCGATGTCGGAAGTTGGTCTTCTAGAGCAGGCCGAAGTATTTTCTAAACATCTATCCGGTGGGCAGAAGAGGAAGCTAAGCATAGCTATCGCATTTATTGGCGATCCCAAGGTATTACTGGTGCTCAAATTAACGAAAAGGGGCAGGGCTAGGCAGTTTTACACTCTAAATTTAAATTTAGGTAAAATTTAGGTAAGGGGAAAATTATAAAGGCATTTTTTTAAATAAAATAGAATATTATATTTTATATTCAATATAAATGAGGTTAAATACAATATAAAGGGGTTTCGATAGGGATGCTCGAACTTTGACAGCGTATAGCGACTATCTTACTATTTTAGTAAAGCGCGCTAGCTGTCAAATTTGACAAGAATACTTATTAAAGGTATGTTCCGATATTATACACTGCGAGCACTGTTTAGTCCTCTCACTGGTGAAAAATTCATTCCGTTATGGACTGCCAGTAGACTGCCGCTGTACACTAGGGAAATATATGAGGGAAATATATGACGTCATAATTCGTCGCCATTTGTGTACTGTGAGCACTGGCATGGCACTTTTGATGTAAGGTGCTCTCAGTACTTTCACCGCGTGATCAATATACATAAAAGCGCCTAGAGATTTAACAGCTTCCACGAATGATTGTTATTATTATTAATTAATATTGTTATTCAAATAAACTCGGACATTAAGTTTTAAAAGCAATAACATTCAATTAATAATTTTTCTAGTTGAACAGAAAACGTGGTGTATATGATAAATATTTTCATTTGAAAACAGTGTCGAAAAATGGGGATGACAGTATACTGGACAGTATAACAAACTAAAAAGGAACAGCTTAACAGTATACTGAATTGACGTCACACCTTATAGTGGTCACAGTGTATATCGGAACACACCTTTAGTCTTGACCACAGAACACAATTACTTTCCATCGAGAGGTCTTGTCAATTCACCATGGAACCGCTACACGAATCAACTACACAGAAAATTTATTAACAATCTCTGAATTTTATTAAAAACTCTGTTCGCCTAACATTATGTGTGTTGCGTCCAATTTATGACATTCATGGCCGTACTTTAGAGTCCACAACCCGTCGTTTAATGAATAAATTTGAGACAACCCGGTCGGTGATCGATGACGTAGTGCCAAAGTACGTCAAAGAAACGCAAGATAATTGGAGAATATTAAATAAAATATGGCGGCCATCTTGCTTTCCGCCATTTTGTTTTTTTTATATAGAATTAGGGTGACAAACGAGCACACAGTCCACCTGATGGTAAGTGGCTGCTGTGGCCCATAGACATCTGCATCTATCCTCGTTTGTGAATTACAAATGCAGATGCGTTGTCAGCCTTGAGGACTAAGATAGAATGCCTCTTTTCCAGTAAAATGGGTCTCCGGTTCTCTACACTCACCATACGAAACACAGCAGCATTAAGCTGCTATTTTACGCTGGTATTCTGTGAGAGTGTGGTCCTGCCCCGGTCGAGCAGACGCATTCGTGCTACAACTATACGATTAATATAGCTGCAGCATGGCTCTACCACGTACATAATTTTTTCACCACCGCTAGAATTTGCCCAAGATGTAGTTCGATATTAGTCAAGACACAATTTAGAATGACGGCACTTTACTTTTTGTGTTTTGCTCATCAAGCCCTTTAATTTGATACCCATTGTTACGGCCCTCAGTTGCCCCGACAGAAGTCGACTGTACTAGAGTCCATGAGTAAGACACTCGACGGGCAACCAGAGGGTTCGGGCCCAATGGCCTATGAATAATTATTATATAATGGCTGGATAAACAAATACAAACTTACCAAGTTCCGGAGGTAGGGTCGACCACAAGATACCGTCAGGGGCAAGTAAATGGTAGGTGTGAGTGGTGTAAGAAGGTGTGTAATGTAACCTGACGTCACCGATGTAATCGGCCAGCAGGCCCACATGCGCTGCTCTGTTGCACAATGTTCAATCACTCCAGTGGGCGTTCACCGTTATCTGAGCTCAAGTCTAACGTCACTTAGCACAAAACTATAATCGAAGACGAACGCGATCTCCTCTCGGGTCACAAAGTTTTAGCGTTCCACCCGAAAAAGCAAAATGTCTTATTACGATATTAAAATGCCACACAAACAACTCGTCGATGCAAATTAATGGCAATCGAAGTTAAGTTAATCACTCAAAATCCAAGATAAGCCTCGTTGTCACGTATACGAACGAAATAAGACAACGCAAAGGAAGCTGTCTTAACGCGACCTAACGATTCTAACGTAACTTCCCGACTCCAACCGACACGACCGTCGCGGACAATTGATTGTTCCAGACTATTCACACGGCCGTCGCGTTTAAAAACGACTGCCCGCCGGCCCAAGCCGTCAAACAGGTTTATCGCCCAAGACGAGCATTTTTGCAAGTTTTAAGTGTTACGATTTGGCCTAAACACCCACAATAAAGGGGTTACTATGGAAATTTTAAATTGCCATTTCGTGACGTCCGCTATTTTGGATTTAGAATGACGTCACTTTTATTATTGTGTTTCGCTCATCAAACTATTTCAATTTATACCCATATGATAGGGGTTGCTGTGGAAATGATAAATCGCTATTTTGTAACGTCCGCGATATTGGATTAAAAATGATGATGTATAAAACTAAACAATTCGGTATTTTTGTAGGATGATGATTCAGCTAAGCAACTAGATATAGTCTATTGAGTAGTGCGGCTGCAACTAGTTTTATTGTACGCATAGGGCCGCGTGGACTTGACAAAGGGGTACGATACTGTTATAATGTATCTATGGGTGTGTGAAATTCTTTTTTTTTTTTCTTTTTTTTTATAAGAGAGGGGGCAAACGAGCATGCGGCTCACCTGATGGTAAGTGACTACCGCCGCCCATGAACAACCGCAACACCAGGGGAATTGCAGATGCGTTGCCGGCCTTTTAAAAAGGAGTAGGCTCTTTTCTTGAAGGTCCCTAAGTCGTATCGGTCCGGAAAAATCCCTGGTGGTAAACTATTCCACAAGGAAGTTGTGCGAGGAAGAAAACATCTTCTAAATCGCACAGTGGTGGACCGCCAATCATCCAGATGGTGTGGATGGTATCGGGAGTTCTGCCGCGATGTGCGTTCGTGAAATTTGGCGGCTGGGATTAATCCGAACAATTCCTCAGAGCACTCCCCATGGTAGATGCGAAAGAAAATGCAAAGAGATGCAACATCTCTTCGCAGTGCCAATGAATCGAGCCGTTCGGAAAGGGCTCGGTCGTCGACGATTCGAGCCGCTCTGCGCTGGATGCGGTCAAGTGGAAGGAGCTGGCACTGGGGAGCCCCTGCCCAGAGATGGGAACAGTATTCCATGTGAGGCCGAACCTGCGCCTTGTAAAGTTGCAGGCGGTGTGCCGGCATGAAATACTGTCCCGCTCTGCTGAGCACGCCAAGCTTTTTAGAGGCCAATTTGGCCTTCTCTTCCAAGTGACCACGAAACTGTACGTCACTCGATATGTCGACTCCGAGGATACCGATACTGGCTGAGGCAAGAAGGGGAGTGCCTTGAAACTGAGGAGATACGACAAAGGGGTTCTTTTTAGCGGTAAACGCGCAAACTTGTGTCTTCTGAGGATTAAACTGGACTAGATTTAGTCGCCCCCAATCCGAGACTTTGTCCAGCAAAGACTTGACTTCAGACACAAGTTTGTTCCGGTACTCGGCGACGTTTTCCCGAGAAATATTGGCCCGGCCGGTGTATAGAGCATCACCAGTGCTGTCATCCGCATAGCAATGAATGTTACCAGTTAGCAACATATCATTGATATGCAGAAGAAACAGCGTTGGTGATAGCACACAGCCTTGTGGAACACCAGCGTTAATAGGCTTGTAGTCAGAACATGCACCGTCTACAACGACCTTGATGCTCCGATCTGCAAGAAAGCTGGTGATCCAATTGCACAATTTCTCGGGAAGCCCATAGGAAGGCAGCTTCGAAAGAAGCGCTTTGTGCCAAACCCGATCAAATTTTTAGTTAAGTGTTTTAATTGTTGTGTTAGTTGCGTAGTGACAGACGATTGTTTTCGTGTATGCAGATTTCCCCCCGCAAAAAAATGACAAACAGTTCTGTATCAGGGAAAAACGATATGGCTACTTCCCTCCAATCCGTCGGTGGCTCATGTTGATCTATGCATTATGTACAATAAATGCTTCAAGTGTATTAGATACACATATACTATTTTCGGACAAAAAGAACTTGTGAACCAGATCATAATCCTGGATGAGCCGACCGCGGGCGTGGACCCGGTGTCGCGGCGGCAGACGTGGCGCGTGCTGCAGCGCGCGCGCAGCGGCCGCGTGCTGCTCCTCACCACGCACTTCATGGACGAGGCCGACATCCTCGGCGACAGGAAGGCCGTCATCAGCAAGGGCAGGGTGAGTGCCGAGTCAACATTTGAATGATGTCTCAAAATTAAGATGGAATTTGTATAATGATTTCTTATATTTACGCGAACACTACATTGAATAAAACTACCTTTTTAAGGATTTTATAGCTTTTAATTTACTTATTTTAAATTGTTAAAATTTGTTAAAATAAAATTAAAAAGCTGAAGATACTCCGGGTTAACTCTGACATCGGGACGTCAGTCACCTCAGTCCCCCGTGACCATGGTTGCTGGAAAGCAACCGAAACGTTGGGAATATAAAATAAGCTAATTAAACGCGATAAAATCCGTAAAAGAGTAGTTTTATTCAATGGAATTTGTAAATACTAATTCGAAAAAAATCGACACTGATCTTTGCTATGATTTGAGTAACCACAAACACTGCACTTGTTTACACCACGGGAATGCATCGCGAACACATCCTGAGGAGATGCGGGAACGCCTAGTTGTGAGGTGACGCTAGTGCTCTGCATAGCGAATCTCGCACACCGCACACTCTGTGCCAGCTCCAGGGCCCTGCTAAAGGTCAAGTCCATGATACTCTCGGCAAATAACTTTTCTCTCTCCTTTACGTTTTCCAAACCCAGGACAAAACGGTCTCTCATTGCCGTCTCCAGCTCAAAAGTGAAGCCGCAGTACTGAGACAGGCTACGCACCCGCGCGGCCCACTCCGCCAAGTCCTCGCCAGGTCGCTGCTCTGCTCGATAAAACTTGTATCTCTCCGCAAATGAACATTTTTTTGTGACAAAATGTACACTTAACTTTTCTAGTAGTACTTTGTACTCTATGTTTTCTAATTCAGTTGGGAAGGCAAGATCTCTTGCCACCCGATACGTATCTTCCACCAGCGCAGTTAGTAACAGGGCCCGTCGTTTCACACCAGACTTATCCGATTCCTCGGTGATGTTATTCGCAGAACAGTACTGCTGAAAACGACTTTTGAATATATTCCACTCCTGTACGCGGTGGTCGAAAATAAGACTGCCGCCAATATTAACGTTTCCGCCATTTGCCATCTTTATCCAATCGACTTAATTTATATCACTGTAAGTCGAAACAACTTTAATACGCGTGAATTACTATATCGTCGCCAAATTGTACTGTTTAGGAATAAATATACAATAAAATACGAATTACGTAGCAGGCAGTTTAATCGCTCAAAGCAGACAGACAATTCTTTCCCTACCCGCTTATATTATTATATTATCACTCTTTAAATACATCACACTAATGCGATAGGCTGATGAGGGGGACAATAGAAGCAATGCTTAAGTATAAGTTCCGTGCTCACCACTCTGCCTACCCAGCATGCTGAGTTTGGGCAAATCTTCCAATCAAGTTTTTGGAAAGGTCTTTGAATTAAGATGATGGCACACTTAATTTACACAATTTTTTTAATAATGTTTCCTTATTGTCTACTTATTTTGTGCTTACAGGTCCGCTGCGCTGGTACGTCGTTATTTTTGAAGAACAAATTTGGTATCGGCTACCATTTAACATTGGTATTAGATGGTAAGTTATAAATATTAATTATTACTTAATACTTCTAGATATTTTCATTTTTGATATATTTACTTAGATAAAAAATATTTTTAATTGCATCGAGTTTAATGTTGTAATTTTAAAGTGGCATGTCCATGAAAAAGATAGCAGCACGAATCATGAGCACAAACTAAACCTGTAGGGTTAGCCAAATTGATTTTCTACAATTACTATTAATAATAATAGAAAACTATAAATATAATTGAGAAGGACGTTGCAGTAATATCATTTCAACATATCTGTCATGAAATTAATGTTGATTTCTATTAGCGTTAACGATTGTAGAAAGTCACCTCAGCAAAGCCTACTGCAGTACGATTGCAGACGTTCCTGATTTCATTTCCTCGATCCGCTAAAACGTGAGCTGTTATGTAAAAAAGCGAACGAGCTATTATATAAAATAAACTACCTTTCATGAGTAAAATAAGTGAATGGAGTCTCTTCAACCACTTTTATCGCCGCCGAAGACTGTTTTAAAATTCTATAAGTTATTTTTTTTTCAATAAGACTACCTCTCCCATTTACTCCGATCCTCCCGCACTCGTAAAATGCTATTCAATGTCAATGTCTTCATTGTAATTCAATAAGTTCATGTCTCGCACGATTACGTGGGCACGTTTCTCTATTTAATTCCGACTTTTGTCCTCCGACTGTTGACGGATTTCGATACGTGTCTCGTACTATACAGGCGCGTAAATCACACGCTGCTTACTTCCGACCCACCTCTAACCACTAGTCGAATAATAGGCTCTAGCGGGTGTCCCGCATAGTGCGGACGCCCGTCGGCCAGATCACGCAGCTGAAGCTGATACGTGGGCACATGCCGTTACTTACTCCCATTACTTCCCTAGTCGTCGAATGTTCATCATCATCATTACAGCCCTTCACAAGTCCACTGCTGAACATAGGCCTCCCCCAAAGAATGCCACAGAGCACGGTCCTGAGCCACCTGCATCCATCGACTTCCTGCATGTCTTACCAGGTCGTCACTCCATCTCGTGGGGGGACGCCCTACACTTCGCCTACCGGTACGAGGCTGCCACTCGAGAACCTTTCTTCCCCATCGGTTGTCGGTTCTTCGAGCTATATGGCCGGCCCACTGCCACTTCAGCTTACTAATCCGTTGGGCTATGTCGGTAACTCTGGTTCTACTGCGGATATCCTCATTCCTAAGTTTATCACGCAGAGAAACTCCGAGCATAGCCCTCTCCATAGCTCGCTGAGCGACCTTGAGCTTCCTCATACGGCCAGCAGTGAAGGACCACGTCTCAGTTCCGTAAGTCATCACTGGCAACACGCACTGGTTGTACAATTTCGTTTTAAGGTTTTGAGGTATGTCTGACGAGAAGATGTGTCGTAGCTTCCCGAACGCTGCCCAGCCGAGTTGAATCCGTCGATTGACCTCTCGGTCGAAGTTGGACTTACCTAGTCGGACTATTTGTCCCAGGTAAACATACTCGTCAACAACTTCGAGCTTAGTGCTCCCAACAACTACTGGCATAGGTGTGACATGGACATTAAACATGATCTTTGTTTTGTCCATGTTCATCTTAAGACCTATCCGTTGGGAAACACTATTGAGGTCATTGAGCATAGTGCTTAGGTCCTCCAGCGATTCTGCCATAAGGACTATATCGTCGGCAAATCGAAGGTGAGTGATGTACTCGCCATTGATGTTGATACCGTATCCTTTCCAGTCCAGAAGCTTGAAAACGTCTTCCAATGCAGCGGTGAAGAGTTTCGGGGATATGACGTCACCCTGTCTTACACCTCTCTGCAATTGGATAGGTTTCGTACTCTGGTTCTGTACTCGGATAGCCATCGTAGCCCTACTGTACAAGCACTTCAACACTTCGATATACCGACAGTCAACTTGGCACCGCTGAAGGGACTGCAGCACCGCCCAAATTTCGACGGAATCAAAGGCTTTCTCATAGTCCACATACGCCAGACATAGAGGCAAATTGTACTCTTCGGACTTCTGTACAACTTGCCGAAGGGTATGTATGTGGTCTATGGTGCTAAAGCCCTTTCGGAAACCGGCTTGTTCGGGAGGCTGGAAGTCGTCAAGTCTGCGCGCGAGACGATTCGTAATGACTCTCGAAAACAGCACGTAGACGCGGCTCAGAAGGGAAATCGGTCTGTAGTTCTTCAAGAGAGCGTTGTCACCTTTCTTGAAGAACAAGACCACCGCACTTCTGCTCCACGCCTCCGGTGTAATGCCACCATGCAGGACGGAATTAAAGAGCTTCTGAAGGACTTCAAGTACCGGTCTTCCACCCGCTTTCAGAAGCTCCGCTGTAATTCCATCCTCGCCTGGGGCCTTACCGTTTTTAAGGTGCTGGAGAGCCATCCTAATCTCGCTCAGACTGACATCCGGGATATCTTCGGAATAGTGTCGGATGAGACTCGCTCTTGGATCGTTACTCACACTTGCGTGTGGCTCCAACGATGATGTGTACAGCTGCCCATAGAACCTCTCAATCTCACTCAAAATCTCAGGTGTCCCGGAAACGATGCTGCCACATTCTGTCTTCAGCTTTGACAGTTGGCTCTTTCTGGCAGACAGATCTCTGGCAAAGACTTTGGAGCCTTGGTTCCGCTCGATCGCTTCTTCAATATGAGCTGTATTGAAGTTGCGTAAGTCCCGCCGCATGCATTTGGAGATCTGTCTGTTCAGATGCCTGTATGCTGTCAAGTCTGTTGAAGAATGTAGCTTCATCTCCCGTCTAACAGCCATGAGATTAAGAGTGTGATCGGAGAGTTTTTGTGTTCTTCTGCGGCCGGTCTTGCAGAACTTAGCTCCGACCGCATGGACAGTTTCCACGAGCTTGTCATTCATATCGTCCACTTCATTGCAGTCTTCCAGGCACTGAAAACGGTTTTGTAACTCGAGCTGAAAGGTTTCGGGACTTTGGAACAGAGCACGAGGGGGACGGAGCGTTGACTTCATTAGACGAGACCTCTCCAACTTAACGTTTAGGTTCAGTGTGCCTCTAACCATTCGGTGATCGCTACCAGTTTTCACCCTCGCGATCACGGAGACATCACTGAACAGTTGTCGTCTGGTCGTCATAATGAAGTCAATCTCATTTTTTGTGGAACCGTCGGGGCTCGACCAGGTCCACTTCCTGTGGGGCCGCTTCTGGAAGAAAGAGTTCATCATAAAGAGTCCCTCTTTCTCCATGAAGTCGGCCAGCTGCTGGCCCCTTGGGTTCCGTTGCCCTATTCCAAATTTCCCTACTTTCAGCTCACCGTTCTCTCTTGTGCCTAGTTTTGCATTGAAGTCTCCCATTAACACCGTATATTGGGTTTTGGAGGAATGCATGGCTCTAGAGATATTCTCATACATTTCCTCCACCTCCTCATCGGGGTGTGCCGAGGTTGGTGCGTAAACCTGTATGACCTTCAGCGAATACCGTTTGGTGATTCTGAGTATAAGGTACGCAACCCTCGTCGACACACTCCCGATCTTTACAACGTTGTTAACGAGAGACTTGTGGACGATAAATCCGACACCTCCTTGGGACAGATGGTCGCCCTCCTGATGATAGAGCAAGTTGCCGGATTCGAGGATTACCGTGTCCTCCCCCTCTCTTCGGACTTCGGATAATCCTATAATATGCCAGCGCAACTTGTCTATCTCTTCTTCCAGCTCCACAATCTTCTCGTCAGTCCTCAGGGTGCGTGCGTTGTACGTTGCCAGGTCGAGTCGTCTAAGGTGGCAACCGAACCTCCACCGGAGATTCTTAGCACCCCCTGCCCCGCCGTTACCATGGTCGCCACCGTAGCCAGGAATAGCGGGGCCGCCGGGGACTGGGGGCCGTTTCTTTGTTACTGTCATTCATAGGGGGGTATTTGCCATAGTTGCCACGCTTGGCGAGCGGGTTGGCAACCGCAGTTTTTTTATTGTAATTTGGCTATTATCAGGAAGATGCTGCTGCCCATCTCCTGCCTGTTTCCCTTTGTCGCCTTTTACGACACCCACGGGAGGATATGGGGTAGTGGATATTCTTGACCGCCACTACACGGCAATCGAATGTTAGTATATAATAATAATAATAATAATAATAATATTCCACAACTATCAAACAACGCCATCTAGTCCCAAGCTAAGCAGAGCTTGTGTTATGGGTACTAGACAACTGATAAACATACTTATATATTTCTAAATACATAAATATTATAGATAAATTACACCCAGACACAGAACAAATGATCGTGCTCATCACACAAACATTTGTCCTGGGTGGGAATCGAACCCACGACCTCCGGCGTAGCAGTCAGGATCACTAACCACTAGACCAACAGGCCAGTCAGCGTATAGCGTATAGCGGACGTCTCGTACTACGCAGGCGCGTGCCATGAGCACCAGGTCACGTACCGCTACTTACACCCCCTATCCCCCCCCCCCACTTGTCGAACGTTAGTCAATAGCGGACGTCTCGTACTACGCAGGCGCGTGCCATGAGCACCAGGTCACGTGCCGCTACTTACACCCCCTATCCCCCCCCCCCACTTGTTGAACGTTAGTCAATAGCGGACGTGTGGCACTACGCAGGCGCGTGCCATGAGCACCAGGTCACGTGCCGCTACTTACACCCCCTATCCCCCCCCCCACTTGTTGAACGTTAGTCAATAGCGGACGTGTGGCACTACGCAGGCGCGTGCCATGAGCACCAGGTCACGTACCGCTACTTACACCCCTATCCCCCCCCCACTTGTCGAACGTTAGTCAATAGCGGACGTGTGGCACTACGCAGGCGCGTGCCATGAGCACCAGGTCACGTGCCGCTACTTACACCCCTATCCCCCCCCCCACTTGTTGAACGTTAGTCAATAGCGGACGTGTGGCACTACGCAGGCGCGTGCCATGAGCACCAGGTCACGTGCCGCTACTTACACCCCCTATCCCCCCCCCCACTTGTTGAACGTTAGTCAATAGCGGACGTGTGGCACTACGCAGGCGCGTGCCATGAGCACCAGGTCACGTACCGCTACTTACACCCCTATCCCCCCCCCCACTTGTCGAACGTTAGTCAATAGCGGACGTGTGGCACTACGCAGGCGCGTGCCATGAGCACCAGGTCACGTGCCGCTACTTACACCCCCTATCCCCCCCCCCCCACTTGTTGAACGTTAGTCAATAGCGGACGTGTGGCACTACGCAGGCGCGTGCCATGAGCACCAGGTCACGTGCCGCTACTTACACCCCTATCCCCCCCCCACTTGTTGAACGTTAGTCAATAGCGGACGTGTGGCACTACGCAGGCGCGTGCCGCGAGCACCAGATCACGCGGCTGGTGCGCGGGCACGTGCCGCTACTTACACCCCTATCCCCCCCCCCACTTGTTGAACGTTAGTCAATAGCGGACGTGTGGCACTACGCAGGCGCGTGCCGCGAGCACCAGATCACGCGGCTGGTGCGCGGGCACGTGCCGCTACTTACCCCCCTACCTCCCCCACTTGTCGAACGTTAGTCAATAGCGGACGTGTGGCACTACGCAGGCGCGTGCCGCGAGCACCAGATCACGCGGCTGGTGCGCGGGCACGTGCCGCTACTTACCCCCCTACCTCCCCCACTTGTCGAACGCTAGTCAATAGCGGACGTGTGGCACTACGCAGGCGCGTGCCGCGAGCACCAGATCACGCGGCTGGTGCGCGGGCACGTGCCGCTACTTACCCCCCTACCTCCCCCACTTGTCGAACGTTAGTCAATAGCGGACGTGTGGCACTACGCAGGCGCGTGCCGCGAGCACCAGATCACGCGGCTGGTGCGCGGGCACGTGCCGCTACTTACCCCCCTACCTCCCCCACTTGTCGAACGTTAGTCAATAGCGGACGTGTGGCACTACGCAGGCGCGTGCCGCGAGCACCAGATCACGCGGCTGGTGCGCGGGCACGTGCCGCTACTTACCCCCCTACCTCCCCCACTTGTCGAACGTTAGTCAATAGCGGACGTGTGGCACTACGCAGGCGCGTGCCGCGAGCACCAGATCACGCGGCTGGTGCGCGGGCACGTGCCGCTACTTACCCCCCTACCTCCCCCACTTGTCGAACGTTAGTCAATAGCGGACGTGTGGCACTACGCAGGCGCGTGCCGCGAGCACCAGATCACGCGGCTGGTGCGCGGGCACGTGCCGCTACTTACCCCCCTACCTCCCCCACTTGTCGAACGTTAGTCAATAGCGGACGTGTGGCACTACGCAGGCGCGTGCCGCGAGCACCAGATCACGCGGCTGGTGCGCGGGCACGTGCCGCTACTTACCCCCCTACCTCCCCCACTTGTCGAACGTTAGTCAATAGCGGACGTGTGGCACTACGCAGGCGCGTGCCGCGAGCACCAGATCACGCGGCTGGTGCGCGGGCACGTGCCGCTACTTACCCCCCTACCTCCCCCACTTGTCGAACGTTAGTCAATAGCGGACGTGTGGCACTACGCAGGCGCGTGCCGCGAGCACCAGATCACGCGGCTGGTGCGCGGGCACGTGCCGCTACTTACCCCCCTACCTCCCCCACTTGTCGAACGCTAGTCAATAGCGGACGTGTGGCACTACGCAGGCGCGTGCCGCGAGCACCAGATCACGCGGCTGGTGCGCGGGCACGTGCCGCTACTTACCCCCCTACCTCCCCCACTTGTCGAACGTTAGTCAATAGCGGACGTGTGGCACTACGCAGGCGCGTGCCGCGAGCACCAGATCACGCGGCTGGTGCGCGGGCACGTGCCGCTACTTACCCCCCTACCTCCCCCACTTGTCGAACGTTAGTCAATAGCGGACGTGTGGCACTACGCAGGCGCGTGCCGCGAGCACCAGATCACGCGGCTGGTGCGCGGGCACGTGCCGCTACTTACCCCCCTACCTCCCCCACTTGTCGAACGTTAGTCAATAGCGGACGTGTGGCACTACGCAGGCGCGTGCCGCGAGCACCAGATCACGCGGCTGGTGCGCGGGCACGTGCCGCGCGCGGAGAAGGCGCGGCGCCACGGCCGCGAGCTGTCCTACATCCTGCCGCACTACGCCGTGCACCTCTTCCCGCCGCTCTTCCACGCCATCGAGCACGAGATCAAGGACAAGACCAACCGATTGGGTAATCTATTTCGATCTTTACATAATAAAACATTAACAATTTTTGTGCTACCGTTACTACCGTTACAGCCTATCGAAGTCCACTGCTTAACAGAGGCCTTCTACATAGATTACGCCATTAAGGAGATATTTGCAATAATTGCCACGTTTTCAAACGTTTTGCGGTTGCCACCGCAGTTTTTTGTTTTTAGTTGTTATTATTAGTAAGACGTTGCTGCACGTCTCCTAGTAAGTCGCCTCTTACGATCCACATGGGAAAATATGGGATAGTTGATATTCTCACACTGCTATTACACAGTGAAATTGGGTTTTATAGTGTCATTTTAACGCACACGCACACTACTCAATAGTTGCCTTCTTACGACATTACAGGATCATATCGACAACTGTAGGGCGATTAAAATATAATTCTATTCAACTGTCAATATTATTATGGATTGATTAAGAGATTATTGAAAGTGCATTATCATCACTACAAGTTTTGGTCCGTCGAGCCGGATTACTACTGTTACCTTGCTTGCTATTAAATTTGGTAGATATACAGCCTTTCTGAAATCAAACTTTTAAGAAAAAAAGTTAAACTAAAAATAAATAAAATAATTTTCACATATTTTAATATGTTAGTGCTTTTGAAGTACTTAATACAAAAATAATCATTAATTCACAATTGACAAAAATATCGCGTAACATATATAAAAAAGAAACATACATTCGAATTTAGAACTTCCTATTTTTTGAAGTGGATTAGTGAAATACTATTTCAAACATAGTAATGTTAGTGAAAGAGTGGAAGTATTTTGATTTATTACTTTATATTACAGGTATCACTAGCTACGGTGTTTCAATGACAACTCTTGAAGAAGTTTTTCTCAGTCTAGAAGGGGAAAATGACGAGGAAATTGACGCAGTCGAAGGAGTATCATCTGTAAAGCTGGTGCGAGCAAGAGCATTATCTAGAAGCTTGTCCCTACAGAGCAAGACGTTAAGCTACCAGGTAATAAATAATTCAAGGATAATTATTATAAAAGTCGTCGACAAGATAAATAAACTGGTTTAAAAAAATGTAGATGCGCCTGTTCTTAATTATGAGCTTATGACAGAGTATTTAAAAAAGTATTTTCACAATTTTTTTATCAGGAGTTGAACGACAAGGACCAGCAAAATACGACATCGCTACCCACGCCGCCAGCATCGCACGCCCTACATTCTACAACGCACGGGGTTGAACATGTTAAGGTTAGAAAATGTTTAGAATTAAACATAAAGTGACTAACGCCAATATTAAAAGACAATTATGAGTAAAACGTAGTGTTAATATACGAGTTTGATCACGATAAAACTCAAACTCCACAATGACAAAATTTGAGTCTAGACAACTACAATGTTATCTCAGAGTAAGTACAAGCAATCTTACTACTCCAAGTATGTTACACAACATTTGCATGGTCATGTTTCAGCTTAGACTCGAAATAATCCCTGAATACTGATCTGAGACCCTTCGGAGGCTTCGATCACTTAGTTTTTCATTCAATTTGAGATCTGAGTGTGTGCGCGCATGTGTGTGTGTGTGTGTGTGTGTGTGTGTGTGTGTGTGTGTGTGTGTGTGCATGTGTGTTTATATGTGCGTGCGCGTGTGTATGTGTGTGTACGTATGCGTGTGTGCGCGCGCGCGCGTGTGTGTTTGTGTGTGTGTGTGTGTGTGTGTGTATGTGTGTGTGTGTAAGGCCTTTATAATCCACCTGACAGTAGTGGGTGCTGCGGCCCATACACATCAGGAATAGCTATCTTATTTTCATAGTGTTACTGTATCCGCCAGGTGACACCAGAAGTGCCGGTGTCAGTGGACGCTCTCGGCGAAATGGTGAAGACGAACCCGTCGTGCTGGCGGACGTTCTGCGCGCTGGTGTACATCCGCATCGTCCGCATGATACGCGACCCTTACAAGTTGTACGTCATGATCTTCATGCCCATCAGTAAGTTCGGATTTTACGTTGGTATTAAATAATTATCCGTCCATCCATTCATCCGTTACAGCATGTATAAATCCACTGCTGAACACAGGCCTCCCCCATTAATTGTTTCATGAGAGAGAAAGAGTTTCGCCATAGTTGCCACGCTTGGCAGGCGGTTAGGCAACCACAGTTTTTTTAGGGTTCCGTACCTCAAAAGGAAAAAACGGAACCCTTATAGGATCACATTGTTGTCCGTCTGTCTGTCTGTCTGTCTGTCTGTCAAGACCCTTTTTCTAAGGAACGCGTGGAGGTATCTAGCTGAAATTCATATCAAATACTTAAGTCTTTTGTCCCTTAGAGCTGTGAAAAAATAAAACTTCTAACCCAACGCTATCAAAAGATACAGCCGTTTATGCCGTAAATTTTCGACATTCGCAAGGGAATCAAAACCTGCAGGGTACTTCCCATGAGCTCAGAATCTTGAAATTTGGTACGAAGCAACGTTTTATAGGACAGATAAAGTAAAAATTGCGAAAAGCATAAAGTTTTAGTTACATCATATAATAATTTTTTTTTAATAATTTTAAACTTATATACCTACAAATTTGTTCGGAACCCTCCGTGCGCGAGTCCGACTCGCACTTTGCCGGTGTTTTTTTTTATTATTTTGAGTTGTTATCAGAATTGTGCTGCTGCCCAAGACCTGTTTCAACTTCCCTCTGTCGCCTCTTACGACACCCACGGGACGATATAGAAATTTATTATTATCTTTAAATAATAATAATAAACAATTTGGAAATCAAAATTTCATTTAATTTTGATAAAAAAAATCTTTTAAACGTCTATGAGTCTGATAACAACCAGATATAGGGATCACCCAGAGGATAAATGGAAACTTATTCAGAAATATTTCTTTCATTTCGTTGCGTATATTTTTCTGAAACGTGAAGACAAACAAGTGTACGGACTAATTGAGAGCCGTACTAGTAATTTTTAACTACGTTTTTTGTAAATATAACTAAACAAGTGAATAAAAAAAATACGCTGACTTTATAATTTAATATATCTAGTTTTCAAAACATCCCTTTTTTATTGATTTAGTGTCTAAATTGAGACATACTAACAATTTTATATTGCAAAATTGTCACATAGCAGCCTGTCGAGAGTAGGGCGCTCCCACACGCTCACGCGTTCTATCTATGGGTATGCAGATGACAGCACAATTGTGAAGAGATACCAACCATGTGCCCGGGCAAGTCGGGATCAAATCCAGTCAGAAAGAGAAGCTATGGTTGAGCGTGTGAGTCTCACACTACAGGCAGTCTCCAAATGGGGCGATGCCAATCTCGTGATATATAACGCCTCTAAAACACAAGCGTGTTTTTTCACCGCTAAAAGGAGCCCGCTCACCCTGGCTCCTACTTTCCAGAATGTATTCTTGGAGTACACTGACCGGCTTCAGTTGTTAAGGGTTGAATTTTCTCCGAACCTCAACTATGGGTGGTTCATTGAGTTCAGAGCCAAAGCAGCCGCAAGGAAACTTGGTGTCCTTGCAAATGTAAGGCGGTACTTCACGCCGGGGCAGCTTCTCACCTTATATAAAGCGCAAGTCCGGTCGTGAATTGAGTACTGCTATCATATATGGGCTGGTGCTGCAAAATGCCACCTGGCAGCGTTGGACTCAGTGGAGAGACGTGCTAAGAGGCTCATTGGCGACCTTAATTTGGTTGAAAACAATCTTGTCAGCCTCGAGCACAGACGCAAATTAGCCAATCTCTCTGTATTCAATAGATTGCATTTCGGTAGGTATGCGCAGGAAATACACGCTTTAATTCCTCCCTCTCCTTTCCACCATCAGACAACCAGGCGGTCGGCGGGTCTTCACCCCTTTGTTGTCGATATTCCACGCATTAGAAACAAACGGTTTGCTTCGTCTTTTGTAATGCGTACTGCAAAGGAGTGGGATAATTTGCCGGCGTCTATCTTTCCGTCCGAATACAATCTGGGCGTCTTCAATGCAAGAGTGAATAGGCTTTTGTTATGCTAAGACAATGCGATCTATCATCTAAGGCTGCATCACCACTTACCACCAAGTAAGATTGTGGTCAAGCACTGGCTTATAATAAGTTAAAAAAAAGATGCTACTGCTCATCTCCTGTTTCTCCTGTTTCCAACAAATATGTGTATTTCACTAATTAAAATACCGATTTTTGTGACATATAGAGTAGTAGCGAAAAATTATATTAAGTAAAAATATTTTTAGTAACATATTAATTACATTGGCTACTATTTCCACCTGATGATAGCAAATGCTACGGCCATAGTTACTTACATCCAGCATCGATTGAGAATCGCAATGTAGAAAAAAAATGTAGCGTTGTCATCTGGAATGTCTAAACAGTGATGTATAGTTACCAGTAAAAAGGATTTATAGTTCTCGCGAATCACTATACGAAAGTCGGTGCAACATTATGCTACTATTTTAAGCTGGTGTTTTTTAAGCTTGATTTTTATACTTTCAAGTTTCAACTATCGTACAGTTGCAGTGTGACTTTACCACATTTAAACCTAAGATGTTTTTAAAGAGATACGTCATACTCGCTCTAAAATAGCAATACGAAAGTCAGGTAATTGCCCGACTCGCATTCAGTCGGGCACGCTCTCGCGTCGCGGCTATACCTTCGCTACAGCGCGTAAATCTTCTAATTATTCGTGGTAAAAATGCCTTCCTGTGTTTTTTAGGTGGTGCACAAATTACACGGCAACTGTTAGAGACAAGAAAAACGTCTCATTAATATTTCGAATATAGATGTTTTGTTCATAATTGGTTTTATTATTTCAACACTTACCGCTAGTGTATACTTTGCCGCTAGCTTGTGTTGTTCATTTCCATATCGGTATGTCACGCGCTCGCACCAATGAGCGCTCAGCAGCAATCAATACGCAACTAATGATGTATATCCGTCTTTTTCTAATGATAAGTACACCGTATCATTTGTCTCTTTTTGTTTGCGCAACGTGTCATAATAAATAACTGTACTTAGATATAGTACTACCTGCGCCACTTTAACATACAATAATGTTAGTGTGTAACCTGTCTATCTTTTTTAATACGTCTTTGATTTAAGCCATTCGGTAAAAATTGCGTTCTTTATCTTTCAGTTTCCTGCGCTCTTGGTTTATACATAAAGTCCAGACAAATAGTATTTTTCCGGATGCAGCCGCTCAAATTGGACCCCAACGCTTATTTGAACAAGACACCAATTGCTCTACACAGCGAACTCGGCAACTTGAAAGAGCTATCGGATTTCAAGGACTCCTTAGAAACTTTAGGGGCTTACCCCATAGTGGATTTCGATGGAAACTTCTCGAGTCTTCTAGATATGGAGAACTTCGGTGCGTTCAGCTTGAGGGACAGCGTCATACCGTACGGGAAGATAATGGCCTACTATAACAGTACATATACACATAGTCTGCCTATTATAGTCAATTTATTGGACAACACTATATACAGGTAAGAGAGTCGCGCTTTCTAGTAGGTTTCATAATAACTTTGTCAAAGTATACAACACAAATAATATTAATATAATTTTAATTATATCATCCTTCTTCACTTTCGATCGTCACATAGCATTTTTTTTTATGAGACTAGGCAATTCAACACTAGATGTCGCTATTTTTATAAGGGTAAATTTAATCACGCAAAGAGAGCACAGAGCTTCACTCATGAGGGCTACTAATCTTCCGCTCACCAGAGGTCGCCAGTCGGGACTGAAGTGAAGTTATTTGTTACGAAATTTCAATAAAATTGAGAAGTTACATTTAAAATTATCGGTTTCTTATATAGAACTAGCGATCCGCCCCGGCTTCGCACGGGTGTAGATTTCGTCAACAGCGCCACCTACCGGATCCAATTGTGTATCTAAACCATCCAAGGACCAACTCCAACACACACGAAAAATTTAATTAGAATCGGTCGAGCCAGTTTAGAGTTTTAGCGAGACTAACGGACAGTAAGAAAATAAGACTGACAAACGAGCACAGTTCACCAGATGGTAATAGACGCTAGAGAGAACAGGCTGAAGGAATCAGCATGTTCTCCCTGGCCTAGAGGCCCGTTTAAACTCCTTCGTGCTGGGAATTGGGGTTTGTAATTATCCCCCATAAACGAGGAATTCCTAGTAAGCGCGAGGCATAAGCTTGCGTTGATTATGTCCCTGCCCTTTGTACACACCGCCCGTCGCTAATCTACATTTATCCTCGTGTGTAGATGTAGATTTTTCAGAATAGGTGTCAAAGAATGGATTTGTCAATACCTACACGCTGTCGATTACTAAATACTGAAATAAAACTTTTTAAAGATGAAAATTATATTTCACGATAGTTATTTTTTGGATTTTTGATTTTAGATATTTATTTGCCCCCTCCCCCTCTTTCCACGGAAAAGTATAAATTTCATTGTTCCTATCCGCTGTATGCTCGTCCTTCAATGAACGAATTGTGGTTTTTTTTAATTGAAACATCGTACGTCTTTATGTTCTTTTTTTAATCGTTAGGGTGCTAATGTCAGCTTCAAACCAGTTGGCTAGCTTCAAGCCAATAGAGGTGCTGGCCCATCCGTTCCAGCAGACGGAACAACAGGAGGAGTTTAACCTGGGCAACATGGTCTGCGCCATCTTTATGGGCATGATCTTTGCGCTGGTACCTGTCACGTTGGCTGTCGATATTGTTTACGACAGAGAGGTAGGTAAAATAAAATAAAAAATTTGTGCATACGTACGAAGTGAAACTTCTTTAGGACATATCATTCTTCTTTTATATTATATTTTAGATAAGTACGTTAAATAATAGTATACTCATGCAGCGCCGGCGGTGAAACGTTACAAAACGTGACTTTTTTAACTTCCCGCTATGAAAATCAACTTTTTCACTCCGGTTTTCCGAAATCCCATTCTCATCAGATCTTCACGTTTTTCAAACACGTAGTAGAGCCATGCTGCAGCTATATTAGTAGTATAGTTGTAGCACGAATGGGTCGGCTCGACCGGGGAAGGACCACGCTCTCACAGAATACCAACGTAAAATAGCAGCTTAATGCTGCTGTGTTTCGTATGGTGAGTGTAGAGAACCGGAGACCCTTTTTACTGAAAAAGAGGCATTCCATCTTAGTCCTCACGGGTGACAACGCATCTGCATTTTGATTCACAAACGAGGATAAATGTAGATGTCGATGGGTCACAGCAACCACTTACCATCAGGTGGACTGTGTGCTCGTTTGTCACCCTATCCTATAAAAAAAAGGTCCTAGGAAGCAATTCTGACTATTCCTAAGAGGATGTCCGTTCGTATGTGTGTGCGTGCGTGCGTGCATGCGTGCGTGCGTGCGTGCGTGCGTACGTGTGTGTGTGTGTGTGTGTGTGTGTGTGTGTGTGTGTGTGTGTGTGTGTGTGTGTGTGTGTGTGTGTGCGTGCGTGTGTGTGCGTGTGCGTGTGCGTGTGCGTGTGCGAGTGCGTGTGCGTGTGCGAGTGCGTGTGCGTGTGCGTGTGCTTCTTCCATTACTATTACATTTCATGTAAATTTGAATTAATTCGGCTAGGTAGATTTTGAGAAATATCAAAAATAAAATTTTCAAAAAAATATTTTTTAAGAGCTCTTAACCTCAAAAAACGATTTCCTTTCAATTTCCGCAAACCGCATCAAAATCGGTTCATTCGTTCAAGAGAAATCGTTGTTGAAAACTTCTTTTTTTCGACAACGATTTCTCTTCAATTTCTCTAGAAAATTTTAAATTGTTGTACTTTGCATTTGAAATTAGCGGGAAGTTGCAGGAATGGCCTGTAGAATGGCCCGTATTTTTTATTCCGTACTAAATTTCTCTACTACGTCGATAAAGAAGTTTCACTTCAATAATGTAAATTAAATAGTGCTATATATTAAGTGAATACCACGAAAATACCGCAATGGCTTACTTTAATCCCTATATATTATTAAGAAGATACAAAAGTATAGGTACTAGTAAAGTAAAGAAAATGACAGTGATAATACGCTGACGATTGCGGTTGAAAGCGAATTATATTTCTGTCCTTTTTTCTCGCTAACATTAACGTCGCAGCGAGCCGCTAGGTGGTTCATAATACGAGAACGGTCAACAGTGTTGGAGTTGAAAACATTTTGACTATCTAAAAAAAGTATTGAAATTCACTTTAATAAAATATTTCTTCCCGCAGATAAAAGCTAAAAACCAACTTCGTGTAAACGGCCTCTCAATGAGCATGTACTTCCTAACGTACTTTGTAATCCTCATCTTCATAATGCTCATTACAAGTGCCGGCGTGCTATTACTGGTGAGTACATTTTTGATAATACAAATTACTACACTATTATATAAGTACAAAAAATGAATAAAAATAATCCTAAATTTTTTTTAAATAAATTCATTGGTTTGAAATTTTCATCATATGGCTATTTTCGAAACTGACATGTTAGTTATATGAACATACTCCTTTTTCCACCATGCTACACTGTTTTTACTTATTATAAGCTAGTACTTACTTAAATACAATCCCACATGGTAAGTGGTGATGACACTTTAGATAGTAAATCGCACTTAGTGTAACAAAAGCCTATATACTTTTGCCTTTAAAACACAGGTGTAATCGGACGAAAAGACAGACGCCGGTAAATTATCCCACTTATTTGCTATGCACATTACAAAAGACAAAGAAAGCCGTTTGATTGGAATGGATGTAAAGAAATGGATGGAGATTCGCCGACCGTCTGGTTGTCTGATGGTGGAAAATGGTGGGACTAATTAATTCATGTAATTCCGTCACCCACACTCCGGAATGTATCTTATAGAATACTAGTAGGCTGGCTACTCTGCGGCTGTGCACGAGGCAGATAAGATGCAACAAAATCAAGGTCACCTATAAGCCTCTTACATAGAATGTAAGAGGCTTATAGGTGACCTTGATCAGCCGCACGGCCAACGGCTTTACGTGCTTTCCAATGCACGGCGGTTAAATACTTTCTGAATCCAGTCTTCTACTGAGAATTTTTTGACAGAAAATCCCAATATTTTTTTAATAATATTCTACTAAATCAGCGTTTATCTACGATCCAACCTGATGGTAAGTGGTGATGTAGCCTAAGAACAGATGGTAAAGCGCACTGACTTAAAATAAACCTATTCACTCTTGCTTTGAAGACACCCATACTGTAATCGGATGGAAAGACAGATGCTGGTAACTTATTCTACTCCTTTACTGTACGCGTGACATTGACCTCATCGTGTTTACGATCGCTAGACCATTAGACTATACAGTATACACATTAGACACTAGACCTTAGTAAAAGGATTACAAAGGCTGGACTTAATGCCTGTTGGCATTCTCTTCCAGTCAAGATATTAGCCTAGAATATTGTTCTTATTATAGATAAAATTTGTTTTTGTTATAAATAAAATATGTAAATATTTTTGACAGGTAATCTTCAACGACATTCCAAGTCTAACAAACGGCTCCGCCATCACGATGCTGTCCGGTCTCCTCCTATTATACAGCCCGTCGGCCATTTTGTTCAACACGTGCCTGTCTTATATCTTCGACAAGATGGACTCCGCGCAAAGTATCATGCCCAATATAACCACATGGATCGGAGTTATTCCGTTCGTTTTAGTAGCTGTTTTGGATACATTTAAATGGGGTAAGTACAGCAATATGATCGCTTAAAATGGAATTATGTGAACTTTTTATTTTTATTTTAATTAAGAAGCGTTTACAATACTGATGTAATTTTCAAAATGTGAAAAGTCCGCTGGACATAGTTCTCATTTTCTCCATAATTTTGCGTGGCAACTATGGCAAAATCCCCCCTATGAAGCCTATGGTAAATCAGCACAATGACTATATTATTAACAATTTATTGTCAGTCAGCGAGGGTCTAACTTGGACTATGGCTCTTATTTTTGTTAAGTTTAAATTATTCATAGTTGTAAATGGAAATGATTTTTTTATAGGATAGGGTGACAAACGAGCCCACAGTCCACCTGATGGTAAGTGGTTGCTGTGACCCATAGACATCTAAATTTATCCTCAATAACGAATCAGAATGCAAATGCGTCGTCACCCGTGAGGACTAAGATGGAATGCCTCTCCTCCAGTAAAATGGGTCTCCGGTTCTGTACACTCATCATACGAAACACAGCAGTGTCAAGCTGCCATTTTACGCTAGTGTTCTGTGAGAGCGTGGTCCTTCCCCGGTCGAGCCGACCCATTCGTGCTACAACTATACTACTAATATAGCGGCAGCACAGCTCTACCACGTATAAATCTAACTATATTTTATTATTAGTGGATATTCTTTGCAGCTAGTGACATCGCGTTCTACCTCCATCTGGTGTTCAGTTTTCTGGACGTCATGTACATACCCTATGCCATCATTTATTATGTTGATAGGTAAGTTTATATTTTAAAACTATAGTTGAGTGATGAAGTAGGAATTAACAAATAGTTTTTAAATCCTTTCGGAACTAAGAAGTTTTATCGATTTTGGGGGAACTAATAGTTCCTTTAAAACTGTTTACACCTTTTTAAGCATTTTGGAAAACATTAATTGATTGAATGGATTGGTATATTTAAAGACTGACTTATCGCTCAGGCTAAATTATGTAGGAGGTTCCACAGAGGGCGCAGAACCGAAGCAAATGGCCCTACCGTTCGAAAAATATTTTAAATTGTTGTAATGTGTCAAGTAGAAAAAGAGTTGTTTCTGTAAATATTCCTTAATAACTGACTTGTAAATTTTTACCCGTGTAGTGGTAGTGTAACAATATCCCCTACCCCATATCATCACGTGGGTGTCGTAAAAGGAGACAAAGGGAAACAAACCAGGAGATGGGCAGCAGTGTCTTCCTAACAACATCTAGGAAATACAAATCTGCGATTGCCAGCCCGCCTACCATTTGGCAACTAAGTATATCAAATACCACTTTAGTACCAAATGATAACTACTAGTCCATAAGAATTATGTAAGTTTATATATATTACACTTGCACTTGCGTTATTACAGAGCAACCTTAATATAACGTACCTCAATATAACGACTTCCTCGATTTAACAAATTCTTCGTAATCCCCTTGAATTGTCCATAAGAGTCAATCTAAAATATCCCTTTACATTACGAACATTTTTGCGAAGAACCTTTTTATAACGAATTTTCAACTATGAACAAAAAGTATAAATACCTCTAATTAACGAATTTTGTCAACCCAAAACCTTTATATAAAGTTCCCAACAACGTATGACTCTTAATCTCATAGTATGTGATTCATGTCGCGACAGGTTTCGACACGCTTTTGTCCTCTTTCTACCTCTCTACCTCTTTATAACGAATTTTAGACCAACCTAACCTCAACATAACAAACCTCAGTTCAACGAATTACTTGATACAACGAATATTTACTTGTTCTCTTCCGATTTGTTATATCGAGGTGCACTGTATTATGTATAAGTTTATATAATATATTATTAAATATTATTATGTAAGTTTAAGAGAGAGATAACAATTTGGTACAACGTGCTTACAACTCTTCATCTCATTCGTCAGCCACGAAATAGTCTACTGCTAGAAACGAGTTTCTACTTGATAGTTTTTGCCGTAATCGCCAATCGCCACGTTAAGTAGTTTCCTATTTGTCAATCATAGTATCCGACATCTTGCCAACTCCGATCTGGACATTTAAAGTATAATAAGTAGATGGATATGGCTATTTAACAAAAGTTTAACACCAAAATCATAGACACGCCTCGGCAAAACATACCACCTCGCTATAAAAATAACCTTTTGAAAACAAAATCTAGATTAAAATTACACAGTTCTGGTACTTATTAGATATCAATTAAAATTTATAATAAATTGCCAGAATACTTACCTAAAAGCCGAAACAAATATCAATAAGTTCATAAGCTCTTTTAAATAATTACTTATTAAAAAAAAAGTTACTTTTCAAATAATGAATACATTGAGGAACAGAATTTTTGAGTGTCTGCTCCTCTCCTGCTCATTGCTATGCCTTTCGAGATGCATGTGAATCACATGCACCTCGAAAGGCATAGCACACATGATTTTTTGTTAGTACTTGCATGTTTTGTTTAGTCACTAAGTCTCATGTAACGCAATTTGTGTATCTATACATACAAATAAATAAAATTGAAGTGACTGTATGTAATATCAAAATAACAGCTTTTTACTAAATGCATATGAAAGTATATACGGTACTTATAACAAAAACACAATTTTTAAAATGTTTGTCTGTTTGTCTGTTTGTCTGTCTGCTTGTTCCGGCTAATCTCCGAAACGGCTGGACCGATTTTGACGGGGCTTTCACAGGTTATAAGGAGCAACTTAGACTACTTTTATTTTAGAAAAAGAATTAGGGTTTCGCGAAACATAATTAAAACCCTAAATAGAAACGCGGGCGAAGTCGCGGGGAACAGCTAGTAGTAAATAAATAAATAAATATATAAAAATATTTTCTTGGCGATCCCCATTGTCGATTCTTACGACACCCACGCTGGGTAGGGGCGGCGTAAGAATATCCACTACTCCATATCATCCTGTGGGTGCCGTAAGAGTCAGCAGAAGGAAACTATAACAGAATATGCCCAGAAGGTGCCTCCTGATGACAACTGAAAGTGATGAAATATCTGGTTCGCAATCCAGACCTTCAGACCTTTTGTCGCTTCAAAAAAAATCTAAACGGAGCTTCGACAAAGAAATGCAATGTAACAAAAATGTCCCATGTTCAAATTGCAACAAAAATTTTGACAGGGTGTACCTAACGTGCAACCTGCGTGGTCTGTGCACGACGCCGGAGCTGTGGAGCTACTTCACGGCGGAGGTGTGGGTGCTGATCGCGGCCATGTTGCTGCACGTACCGATCTGTGGCGCCGCCCTCCTCGCCGCAGACAGGCTCAAGTCCGGTGGAAGGATATGTCCGGTGAGATACCCTGCATTGCTGTTGAGATGCAATCTTAAAATATATAGTATTGAGAAGTTAATTATTTACCATGTAGTGGTGGTGTTAGAATATCTACTAACCCCATATCATTCCATGTGTGTCGTAAGAGATGGTAAAAGGAAACAAATCAGGAGATGGGCAACAGCGTCTTCCTAATAACGATTAAAAATAAAAACTGCGGTTGCCACGCCGCTTACCAAGCGTGGCAACTATGGCAAATATATATTACAATGGATTATGAACTTAAAAGATCCCAATTCGCGTCTTACCAGATGGCGTCTTAAGTTGAGTGAATATGACTTTAGTCTCGTATATATATAAGCAAGGCAAGTGGCACTATCGCGCATCGAACTTCACAATGATGAATTGCTTTCCATTTTACCTAATCCTCCCGAAGTGATACACACTTTAAATGACTAGAATTATAACGGCTACCGAAGTCGCAGAAGATTCCAGAACCATCACTGCTCATATAGATATAGAAAACCCCATCCTTGTAGTTGTCATTTCTGACGAACCCGTGGTGGGGCAAAATAGATCCCCCATATATTTTTCTATATTCAGCAGTGGGCTTTAATAGGCTTTAACGGTAAGAAATTTATAGATGATAATAAACCCTGAGAATGAGGTGATCGCTACCAAGCTATTTCTAATTTATTTTGTGTTATTAATTATTATGTAACTTTATTGTTTGTAAACCGTACTTTTTCCAAAAAATAAGTCCCGCTTGGTTTGTTGCTGTTTTTCTGAACCAGTGGTAAATTAAACATAAAAGGGACTTGTATTACTTACTTATAATATTAAATAGAAAAATTTTCGATATAAATTATAATAATATAGGTACGACCTGGCACGGCAAATTTTGTTCTGCCCTGCCCTTTATGATGAGTGTTTTCAACAGTTTTTGCAGACAATAACTGCTTGAGAGCAAATGAATGGGGTACTTGAGGACAATGACGAAGGTTTTTGAAGTTGTATTTTCCCAAGGTTATTGGTTGCGTGTTCAAATCACGGTGGAGTCTTCAGTGTAGCCCGTGGAAGGAAAAGGGGAGATCTCCCGCCGGACAAGGTGTTCTGCCCCGGGAACGGCCAACGCTTCGAGTTGTAGTTCGGAGCTATTCTATACATACTGCTTTAATTTCGGAACTTTGTTAGCGTGATTTAGGCTTTAATGTGTTTCGCTTGTGGCACGATGACAGCGCCGCCACCGTTTTATACCCTAATATAATGGGAAGTGTACTTACAGAAATTAAACACAACTAACAAAAATAATATGATACATTGGGTTGCAGCAACGAATAGGAATCCAACTAAGCATAACCCTGTAGCTATGTTGCCATAGCTTGTTGTTGTTATATTGTAGGTGCATATTTACTGAGCAGTCGTCGTTGTCGGACCATTTCTTTTTTATATAGAATAAGGGTGACAAGCGAGCACACAGTGCACCTGATAGTAAGTGAATGGTGTGGCTCATAGACATTTACATTTATCCTCGATTAAGAATCAAAATACAGAGGCGTTTTCATTCCTGAGGACTAAGATGGAAAGCCTCACTGCCAGTAAAAAGGATCTCCGGATCTCTACACTCACCATACGAAACATAGCATCATGAAGCTGTATTCTGAGTGAACTTTGTCCTACTCGTAGCCGACTCATTCACATTACAACCATATTATATAGATGCAGCGTGACTCTACCCCGTTCACTTATTAATTTGTAAGTGATTGTTCGTTGTGCAGAAGAGGGCGGGGACGAGGGGTACACGGGGTGCGGCGGGCGCGGGGGACGTGGAGGTGGAGGCGTGCGGCGAGGCGGGCGAGGACGAGGACGTGCGGCGCGAGCGGCGCCGCGTGGCCGCCATCCTGCACCAGCCCGCCAGCAGCGCGCCCGCGCTCGTCGTGCACGTTAGTAACCACAGAGTATATTTTTATACACTTAGTAGTACCTGCCGCGTGCAAACAACACGCCCGCACTCGTCGTGCACGTTAGTAACCACAGAGTATATTTTTATACACTTAGTAGTACCTGCCGCGTGCAAACAACACGCCCGCACTCGTCGTGCACGTTAGTAACCACAGAGTATATTTTTATACACTTAGTAGTACCTGTCGCGTGCAAACAACGCGCCCGCTCTCGTCGTGCACGTTAGTAACCACAGAGTATATTTTTATACACTTAGTAGTACCTGTCGCGTGCAAACAACGCGCCCGCACTCGTCGTGCATGTTAGTAACCACAGAGTATATTTTTATACACTTAGTAGTACCTGTCGCGTGCAAACAACGCGCCCGCTCTCGTCGTGCACGTTAGTAACCACAGAGTATATTTTTATACACTTAGTAGTACCTGTCGCGTGCAAACAACGCGCCCGCACTCGTCGTGCACGTTAGTAACCACAGAGTATATTTTTATACACTTAGTAGTACCTGTCGCGTGCAAACAACGCGCCCGCACTCGTCGTGCACGTTAGTAACCACAGAGTATATTTTTATACACTTAGTAGTACCTGTCCCGTGCAAACAACGCGCCCGCACTCGTCGTGCACGTTAGTAACCACAGAGTATATTTTTATACACTTAGTAGTACCTGCCGCGTGCAAACAACACGCCCGCACTCGTCGTGCACGTTAGTAACCACAGAGTATATTTTTATACACTTAGTAGTACCTGCCGCGTGCAAACAACACGCCCGCACTCGTCGTGCACGTTAGTAACCACAGAGTATATTTTTATACACTTAGTAGTACCTGCCGCGTGCAAACAACACGCCCGCACTCGTCGTGCACGTTAGTAACCACAGAGTATATTTTTATACACTTAGTAGTACCTGCCGCGTGCAAACAACACGCCCGCACTCGTCGTGCACGTTAGTAACCACAGAGTATATTTTTATACACTTAGTAGTACCTGCCGCGTGCAAACAACACGCCCGCACTCGTCGTGCACGTTAGTAACCACAGAGTATATTTTTATACACTTAGTAGTACCTGTCGCGTGCAAACAACGCGCCCGCTCTCGTCGTGCACGTTAGTAACCACAGAGTATATTTTTATACACTTAGTAGTACCTGTCGCGTGCAAACAACGCGCCCGCTCTCGTCGTGCACGTTAGTAACCACAGAGTATATTTTTATACACTTAGTAGTACCTGTCGCGTGCAAACAACGCGCCCGCACTCGTCGTGCACGTTAGTAACCACAGAGTATATTTTTATACACTTAGTAGTACCTGTCCCGTGCAAACAACGCGCCCGCACTCGTCGTGCACGTTAGTAACCACAGAGTATATTTTTATACACTTAGTAGTACCTGCCGCGTGCAAACAACACGCCCGCACTCGTCGTGCACGTTAGTAACCACAGAGTATATTTTTATACACTTAGTAGTACCTGCCGCGTGCAAACAACACGCCCGCACTCGTCGTGCACGTTAGTAACCACAGAGTATATTTTTATACACTTAGTAGTACCTGCCGCGTGCAAACAACACGCCCGCACTCGTCGTGCACGTTAGTAACCACAGAGTATATTTTTATACACTTAGTAGTACCTGTCGCGTGCAAACAACGCGCCCGCTCTCGTCGTGCACGTTAGTAACCACAGAGTATATTTTTATACACTTAGTAGTACCTGTCGCGTGCAAACAACGCGCCCGCACTCGTCGTGCACGTTAGTAACCACAGAGTATATTTTTATACACTTAGTAGTACCTGTCGCGTGCAAACAACGCGCCCGCACTCGTCGTGCACGTTAGTAACCACAGAGTATATTTTTATACACTTAGTAGTACCTGTCGCGTGCAAACAACGCGCCCGCTCTCGTCGTGCACGTTAGTAACCACAGAGTATATTTTTATACACTTAGTAGTACCTGTCGCGTGCAAACAACGCGCCCGCTCTCGTCGTGCACGTTAGTAACCACAGAGTATATTTTTATACACTTAGTAGTACCTGTCGCGTGCAAACAACGCGCCCGCACTCGTCGTGCATGTTAGTAACCACAGAGTATATTTTTATACACTTAGTAGTACCTGTCGCGTGCAAACAACGCGCCCGCACTCGTCGTGCACTTTAGTAACCACAGAGTATATTTTTATACACTTAGTAGTACCTGTCGCGTGCAAACAACGCGCCCGCTCTCGTCGTGCACGTTAGTAACCACAGAGTATATTTTTATACACTTAGTAGTACCTGCCGCGTGCAAACAACGCGCCCGCTCTCGTCGTGCACGTTAGTAACCACAGAGTATATTTTATACACTTAGTAGTACCTGTCGCGTGCAAACAACGCGCCCGCACTCGTCGTGCACGTTAGTAACCACAGAGTATATTTTTATACACTTAGTAGTACCTGTCGCGTGCAAACAACGCGCCCGCACTCGTCGTGCACGTTAGTAACCACAGAGTATATTTTTATACACTTAGTAGTACCTGTCGCGTGCAAACAACGCGCCCGCACTCGTCGTGCACGTTAGTAACCACAGAGTATATTTTTATACACTTAGTAGTACCTGTCGCGTGCAAACAACGCGCCCGCTCTCGTCGTGCACGTTAGTAACCACAGAGTATATTTTTATACACTTAGTAGTACCTGTCGCGTGCAAACAACGCGCCCGCACTCGTCGTGCACGTTAGTAACCACAGAGTATATTTTTATACACTTAGTAGTACCTGTCGCGTGCAAACAACGCGCCCGCACTCGTCGTGCACGTTAGTAACCACAGAGTATATTTTTATACACTTAGTAGTACCTGTCGCGTGCAAACAACGCGCCCGCTCTCGTCGTGCACGTTAGTAACCACAGAGTATATTTTTATACACTTAGTAGTACCTGTCGCGTGCAAACAACACGCCCGCACTCGTCGTGCACGTTAGTAACCACAGAGTATATTTTTATACACTTAGTAGTACCTGTCGCGTGCAAACAACGCGCCCGCACTCGTCGTGCACGTTAGTAACCACAGAGTATATTTTTATACACTTAGTAGTACCTGTCGCGTGCAAACAACGCGCCCGCTCTCGTCGTGCACGTTAGTAACCACAGAGTATATTTTTATACACTTAGTAGTACCTGTCGCGTGCAAACAACACGCCCGCACTCGTCGTGCACGTTAGTAACCACAGAGTATATTTTTATACACTTAGTAGTACCTGTCGCGTGCAAACAACGCGCCCGCACTCGTCGTGCACGTTAGTAACCACAGAGTATATTTTTATACACTTAGTAGTACCTGTCGCGTGCAAACAACGCGCCCGCTCTCGTCGTGCACGTTAGTAACCACAGAGTATATTTTTATACACTTAGTAGTACCTGTCGCGTGCAAACAACACGCCCGCACTCGTCGTGCACGTTAGTAACCACAGAGTATATTTTTATACACTTAGTAGTACCTGTCGCGTGCAAACAACGCGCCCGCACTCGTCGTGCACGTTAGTAACCACAGAGTATATTTTTATACACTTAGTAGTACCTGTCGCGTGCAAACAACGCGCCCGCTCTCGTCGTGCACGTTAGTAACCACAGAGTATATTTTTATACACTTAGTAGTACCTGTCGCGTGCAAACAACACGCCCGCACTCGTCGTGCACGTTAGTAACCACAGAGTATATTTTTATACACTTAGTAGTACCTGTCGCGTGCAAACAACGCGCCCGCACTCGTCGTGCACGTTAGTAACCACAGAGTATATTTTTATACACTTAGTAGTACCTGTCGCGTGCAAACAACGCGCCCGCTCTCGTCGTGCACGTTAGTAACCACAGAGTATATTTTTATACACTTAGTAGTACCTGTCGCGTGCAAACAACACGCCCGCACTCGTCGTGCACGTTAGTAACCACAGAGTATATTTTTATACACTTAGTAGTACCTGTCGCGTGCAAACAACGCGCCCGCACTCGTCGTGCACGTTAGTAACCACAGAGTATATTTTTATACACTTAGTAGTACCTGTCGCGTGCAAACAACGCGCCCGCTCTCGTCGTGCACGTTAGTAACCACAGAGTATATTTTTATACACTTAGTAGTACCTGTCGCGTGCAAACAACACGCCCGCACTCGTCGTGCACGTTAGTAACCACAGAGTATATTTTTATACACTTAGTAGTACCTGTCGCGTGCAAACAACGCGCCCGCACTCGTCGTGCACGTTAGTAACCACAGAGTATATTTTTATACACTTAGTAGTACCTGTCGCGTGCAAACAACGCGCCCGCTCTCGTCGTGCACGTTAGTAACCACAGAGTATATTTTTATACACTTAGTAGTACCTGTCGCGTGCAAACAACACGCCCGCACTCGTCGTGCACGTTAGTAACCACAGAGTATATTTTTATACACTTAGTAGTACCTGTCGCGTGCAAACAACGCGCCCGCACTCGTCGTGCACGTTAGTAACCACAGAGTATCTTTTTATACACTTAGTAGTACCTGTCGCGTGCAAACAACGCGCCCGCACTCGTCGTGCACGTTAGTAACCACAGAGTATCTTTTTATACACTTAGTAGTATCTGCCGCGTGCAAACAACACGCCCGCACTCGTCGTGCACGTTAGTATCCACAGAGTATCTTTTTATACACTTAGTAGTACCTGCCGCGTGCAAACAACGTGCCCGCACTCGTCTTGCACGTTAGTATCCACAGAGTATCTTTTTACAATAATAGTGTCCTCTACTTCCACTAATGACTAGAGAGTGCACTTGTGCGCAAACACATTAGCACTCACTAGTCTCTCACTTTCATAGTCCAATTGTCCTTCCTTGGAGTGGTCCTTCCGCGATCGCACCGCGCATATCATTCGTACTGCAACCACAATATAATTGCAGGTGCTTCTACTACATATTACGTCAAATCTAACAATCAGCAATTTCCAATCTATACACATTTAAAATGTCATTAAAAGAAGAAATTCACTTTTGAAGGATTTAAACGCTTGATTTTTCACTTCGCATTCTACTGTCGGTCATGTTCAACAGAATCTGCGCAAAGAGTACAAAATTAGAGGGTCGAGTGCGTCCAAAGGCGCGGGGTGCTGCGGCGGCGAGGAGACCTTGCGCAAGGCCGGGCTGGCTCGGCTCAGTCTGGCCGTGCATGGCGGCGAGGTGTTCGGTCTGCTGGGACACAACGGCGCTGGGAAGACCACAACTATGAAGATAATCACGGCAGAGGAGCGACTCACTTGTGGGACCGTAAGTTATCATCTATGTTTGACTTTGATCGATTATTAACAAAGTCTAATAATAATGGCCTCCAGACCGGATTTTAGTCACGACGGCCAGCCTCAACGGAGACTAGCCATCAGCGCAGGACAGGATTATAGTGCCCAAGTGTATGCGCAAGCACAGGTGCTCTCTCTATTCCTTCACTCTCATAGTCCGATGGGATGGTAACCCGACACGTCCGGAGAGAGATCGGGCGCAGGACCAAAGGCTTTATGTGCTTTCCGAGCCACGGGGGTGAGACATCGCCAGCTTCCTGACTCCGGGCAGCTATTGAGTTTCTTGATGGAAAAACTCAATAACTGATTTTTTGGCCCGACCCGGGATTCGAACCTGGAACCTCATGATCAGCAGTCGGACTACTACAACCACCAAACCAACGAGGCAGTCAAACCAAGTCTAAAAAAGTAGAAGATTCTATATTTGACACGTAACTATTATGACAATATTATAGTTGTTACCATATATTTGTTATATTGCTTAGTCCACCCTAAAGGGTAAAAAATCAAACTTTTAATAAAGATAATCTTTTAATTGAAATTAAAACTCAACTTCAAAGAACTAAAAGTAAAAAAGTATGTGTGTCAGCTCCGACGCACGACTAGAGTATATTCCTTACGGACGATTATATATCAAAACTCCGCATGTTGACAGTTCATTGACAGTTGTTATTTGTTTATATAAAGTAGTATAGCCGAGAGTACTCTGTGCAGGGGGCTGCGGAAGATAAGTTGTGCACGACATTACGTAGTCATGGAAACATAATGTAACGCATAACGTAACGACTGATTATACTCCCCATAAATTTTCATACCCCGGGCTTATATATAAAAATCGATTCTTAAGGAGTATACTCCAATAAATTCCAATAAAATATTTTTTATAGTATAGCTACTGAAGTCAGCGTTAACACAGTGTAATGAAGAATTAAATCCTAAGCTAAAAACCTATTTAGATTTATTTTTAATTATAAAAACAAAAACTTCAACAACTAAAATAATTTCCACATAATAGCTACTAGATCGGGCCTTTTATTCCTATGTCTCAGCATCCACTTCGGAAGCTATTCTTTTTAGTTTTTGAAGCCAGCATTTATTAAAAGTTTAATTTTTAATAGGTAACTTTTCGCTTTCATTTATTAAAGAGGTGGTGCGCTGGACTCAGATTTCTTCCATACAACCCAATAAAAATGTCTCGATAGCATCTCATAGCAAAATGTTTGACTATGGCAATACAGGACGCAAGTTCCATTCCAGAACGCGGCGAGTATTTATAGGTTGTAAGTAATTGTTCTAGGTCTGGGTTATCGTCCCTGTAACTCCTCAAAAACCTAGAGAATCCTATAATTGAATTGATTTGACGGCTCCGAGGCGCAGTGGCTTAGCAATGAGTGACAGAGATGAAGACCGCGGGCTCAAATCCCGCACGAAACAAGTATTTTCACACGTGGTAGAGCCATGCTGCAGCTATATTAGTAGTTAGTATAGTCGTACCACGAATGGGTCGGCTCTACCGTGGAAGGACCACGCTCTCACAGAATACCAGCGTAAAATAGCAGCTTAATACTGCTGTGTTTCGTATGGTCAGTGTAGAGAACCGGAGACCCTTTTTACTGGAAAAGAGGCATTCCATCTTAGTCGTTACAGGTGACGACGCATCTGCATTTTGATTCTTTATTGAGGATAAATGTAGATGTCTATGGGTCACAGCAACCACTTACTATCAGGTGGGCTGTGTGCTCGTTTGTCACCCTTATCCTATAAAAAAAATGCTCTACAAATAATTGTAAAATTTATGTTTGTAATCTACTTCCATGATACGGCAGAAAATCCTAGTGTGGAGGGTAATGTTTTTCACTACTTTACTTTAATTGTAACGAGTTTTATATAAACAGAGGATGCGAAATATTGAGAGAAGCTCTCAAAATATTGCTAAGCTTATTCTCTTCCACGCAGGTGATGCTCGGTGGGAAGAGCATCGACGAGGCGCAGTCTTCCGCGTTCCAGATGCTGGGCTACTGCCCGCAGCACGACGCGCTCTGGAAGAACGTCACCATCCGGGAGCACATCGAATGCTACGCAGCTATACGCGGCGTCAGCAAGAGCGATACACCGCGGTACGTGGATTTTATTTATCCTATGATATAATAATAATGTCCTCCAGACCGAAGTTCGGTCACGGCGGCCAGTCTCAATGAAGACAAACCAGCTGCGCAGGACCGGATTATAGTGCCCGAGTGTACGTGCAAGCACAGGTGCTCTCTATTCCCTCACTCTCATAGTCCGATGGGACGGTAAACCGACACGACTGGAGCTCCATGCTGCTACAAAGAATTTTTTGACAGAAAAACTCATTAACTGATTTTGCCCAGACTTTTGGGCAGTAAGTGCTGCTCCCAGCACCCTCGGAGTGCTATCACGATGTCTTCAGACTACTTCAGAGTCATCATCTTCCTCGGGGTTTACACTACTATGTATGCGGGGTCTCTGCGCAACTCCGCAACGCCAGAGGCTCCGTATCCAGGGGTACAGTATCTTAAGTCTACGGAAATATTGAACTAGACAATCAATTATTTTTTTTGGTGGACAATAAAGTTTAGACATATGTACATCTTCCTTTTTTTCCTATAGTCACCACGTACGACATCTAGGAGACAATTTTTTTTTATTTATCTATTCTAAAAAGTGAACATTCTTTGCTTTTTAAATTTTGCCAAAATGTAAGCCAGTTTGTCGGCAACGAAACAGTTTATCGTTTCACACTCCTTAATGACAAAATCTGGTACTTACAAATAGTTAGATCAACACATAAATAGTTAAAGAAAATTTCACCGCTATGGACACAACAACAGATCATGTTCCCTCAAGATGGTTTTGAACTGCGACTTAGTTACGCTTTCGTCATATATGTACGCCACCTCATTACATAAAGTCGGAGATATCCATTGCCTTGTACGCCGTCCAAAGTAATTTTCAACCATGGGTTTAAGAAAATCTTTTTTTAAAGCGAAACTTCTTTAGAATCATAGTGATCTGAAACTCTATGAAACGAAAAAGCGACACTAAAAAGAGACAAACATATATTTAGCCTGCGAGAGAATGAGATAGAATACAGTAAAGTAAGTGGCAATCAAATGGTTGTGTTTTCCAATCCGCCATTCGACCACAGTCATGAATCACCTAACACAAGCATTATAAGCTTATGAGGAGTAGTTATAGGGAATATTAGTGATGTTAATAGCTTTTCTAGTATTTTTTTTAATACAGTGTTCCTATTATCTCGATCTCTTTTTTGTGCGGTGCTTTAAAGATGGTTTATAAAAATTTTAACAGTTAAAATAAACAATATAAAAAATCAACAACTTAATTAAATAAATAAAGTTTACCATATTGAATAAAAGTAGCTTAATATACCAATCCATCCTAACAATCCACGATTTCATAACTTCAGGCTATCTAGCGTCTATTTTACTTAGCACCTTGAAAGTCGATCAATTTTTATTCGATAAAAAATGGCGTTACCTGTAGAATGAAGTAGATGGAGCTATTGCAAAGCAATTTTATTCGATAGAAAATATTATTTTGATTTATTACACTAAAATTTAGTTTAAATTGTAAGATTTATTTGCTATAAAATTTAACTTTTAACTTGTGGTTGAAAACTATCTTGTTAAATAACTCATTTGCCGTGAAGTATTTTATGTTATATTTCATTTCATCTGATGGTTTCACTTCTGTTGTGTTTGAGTCTGCACACTTTTTTTCCTCGGTTTTCCCATAGTCGCCTCTTGCGACATCAACGGAAAGAAGCTTATTCGAGTTTATTTATTTTATTTAAATAAATAAACTCGAATAAAGCTAACACACTCATTGAAAGAAACTGCTGTTCCCATCTCTGTGCCGGGGCACCCCAGTGCCAGCTCTTTCCACTTGACCGCATCCAGCTCCGAGCGGCTCGAATCGTCGACGACCGAGTCCTTTCCGATCGGCTTGATTCATTGGCTCTGTGACGAGATGTTGCATCCCTTTGCCTTTTCTTTCGCATTTACTACGGGGAGTGCTCTGAGGAATTGTTCGGATTAATCCCAGCCGCCAAATTTCACGAACGCACATCGCGGCAGAACTCCACCATCTGGATGATTACCACCACTGTGCGATTTAAAAGATGTTTTCTTTCTCGCACAACTTCCTTGTGGAATAGATTACCATCAGCGATTTTTCCGGACCGATACGTCTTAGGGACCTTCAAGAAAAGAGCCTACTCCTTTTTAAAATGCCGGCAACGCATCTGCAATTCCCCTGGTTTCCCTGGTGTTGCAGTTGTTCATGGGCGGCGGTAGTCACTTACCATCAGGTGAGCCGCATGCTCGTTTGCCCCCTCTTCTATAAAAAAAAGAAACCGTTGAGTTGGTGTGTATGCAGGATAGTGGAGGCGTACCTGAACGGGCTGCAGATCATGGAGCACGCGGGCAAGAACGCGGAGGACTGCTCGGGCGGCACGCGGCGCAAGCTGTCGTTCGCGCTGGCCATGGTGGGCGACCCGCGCGTCGTGCTGCTGGACGAGCCCTCCACCGGCATGGACCCGCGCAGCAAGCGCTTCCTCTGGGACACCATCCTGGCCAGCTTCCAGGTGCCTCCTGCACGCCTCTTTTGAACTGAAAACTTTTTTACAACCTTTGTGTTTTTAAACGCGATAAAACGAAAAGGCGACACTAAAAACTATATTAAGGTTATAATACGAATGAATTCGCTCGACCGGAATAGAAAGGACCACGTTCTGACACAATACCAACGTAAAAAAGCTTAATGCTGCTGCGTTTCGTTTGGTAGGTATAGATAAAGCGAAGACCCTTTTTACTAGAAACGAGGCATTCCATCTTAGAACAGAACAGTTTTGTACAATTTGAAGTGCCTACTGAAGTAATTTTAAATTGAGAAATGGAGAATCTAACCGTCTATAGGGCCTTAAAATAATGCATCAATAGTGATTATTACGAGGGTGTCGCGCGATTGTCATACGAGAAATGGTATGCATTTACTATTTTCATTTGTATTGAATGAAGACATCCACGACTTTTTCTGCCACCAGGGCGGCGCCACTTAAAAGCGAGTCATAATATTTGACAGATTTCATAGCAAGGAAGTTAATTTGTTTGGAAAATGTAAAAGTTAATGTTTCTTTCTATACTATGACTTATATTTTATATTAATTAGATTAAAAATAAATAAACCGAACAACAGATATTCACAAAAGTATAAAAATTTAAAAAAATGTGCAAAAGATTAAAGAGCCACTGAGGCATTGTTTTATTTATTAATATAATACTCTAGCAACTGATAAACTTTTATTAAAAACTAACTTCTCAATTAAATGACATTGCGTAACAAAAAACTTTATCTCAGTGTCAACTAGCGACATCTGGTGATCATAAAATTATTAGCGCTCATTGAAATGAAATTTAAAAACTTAATCTCCTCGCAAGCGACAATAATAAATTGCGAGTTTAGTTTTATTTAGTTTATTAGTTAATTTTGCAACTTCGTTGTCAATCAAAATGATACAAATTTTGTAGTGTGCATTGCGTATTCTATATAGCTTTTCCATAAGAGTTACCACGGTCATTAAACATACGACGTGATGCACTACAAAGTGACTATTATATTGATGTCTACAAAGTCAGCGGAAAGACCTGCTGGACTGTCGAACTGACATTTGCTTCGCATTGCGCACTAACTTCAAACGCGTTGTGTAAAATTAACAAATTTATAAGATTATTACTTGCAGGGTAAAAAAGGCGCAATACTGACAACACATTCCATGGAAGAGGCTGATGCCTTATGCTCTAGAGTTGGGATTATGGTGAAAGGAAGTCTAAGGTATAATTAATCTCTTTGACGTAACCTAATTACCTAACACAAAAATGTTTGGCGTGTGGTGATAGCGTAGGAGAATACATCAAGCCATATCGTCTCGTGATTGCCGTAAGAGGGAAATAAAGGAAATGCCAAGAGAAACTCATGGCCTCATATATAAGGCGGTATAATCCGGAGCGGGGTGAGCCTGAGCAGCAGGCGAGTCAAAGGTGCGAGACATCTAGTACTGCGATGGTCAATATACCTGCGATGCGTCATGATCATACGTGGTAGTCATGCTGCAGCTATATTAATTGTATAGTTGCAGCACAAATGGTTCGCCTCGACCGGGAAAGGACCACGCTCTCACAGAATACCAGCGTAAAATAGCAGCTTAACGCTGCTCTGTTTCGTATGGCGAATGTAGAGAACTGGAGACCCTTTTTACTAGGCATTAGTCCTCACGAGTGACAACGCTTCTGTATTTTGATTCTTTATTGAGGATATATGTAGATATCTATGGGTAACAGCAATCACTTACCATCAGGTGCACTGTGTGCTCGTTTGTCGCCCTATCTTATAAAAAATATTTTTTTTTCGGCAGAAATGAGTTCACTTCGCTGCCCTCCGTATAGTCTACTTCACAGTTTCTCGAAATATTTCTTTCATTCATCAGACTTGCAGGTTTCCTCGTTCAAACACTTACGAGCACGCAGTAAACCAGCTCTTAAAATTACTATCTGTGCTCTTTTACATGAGGAAATAGCTACATAAGGAGCCTTAGCCTCAAACGAGGTTATGCCGAACTCCTGCCGATCAAAACCCCATGTGTTCACGGGGCGTAGACGAGAAATCACGAGATCTCCGTTAGGAAAATAACCGGGGTCTCTTTATTAGTTTGCCCAGCTATCACAAAAACGTTTTGAACACTTTCATACAGACGTCTTCCTTGAGATCTTTTTCCTGGTCTTTGGTGGTCACACTATTAACTTGGAGAACAATAATCTATATAAATAAAATGATAGTGATGACTTCTTATATTTACGCGAACACTACACATTTAAATAAAACTAATTTTACGGATTTTATCGCGTATATTAACTTATTTTATATTCGCGACGTCTCTAGTACTTTCCAGCACCCATGGTCACGGGGGTCACTGTGAGGTGTATGACGTCCCAATGTCGGCTACCTCCAGATTAAAAATTATTAATTTTTGTTCCGATCTACGTAGATCGTGCTCGAAACGTCGGGAATATAAAATAAGTTAATATATAAAATATATAAATTCGTAAAATTAATTTTATTTAAAAATGATAGTGGTTTGTAGTTGTGCGCGCATCACGGAAAAACTACTGGATAGATTTCAGTTGAGTTTTCTAAGTTATCTTATATATAATTAGTCTTATCTAAAACTAGTATTTGGATATCTTAAATTTTTTTAATATTATTCTAAGCCAGTGCTTAACTACAATCGCACCTGGTGGTAAGTGGTGATGTAGCCGAAGATGGTGAAGCGTACTGACTTAACAAAAGCCTATTGACTCTTGCCTTGAAGACACCCACATTGTAATCGGATGGAAACACACATGCTGGCAACTTATTCCACTCTTTTGCTGTACGTATGATGAACGATGTAGCAAACAGTTTGGTTCGAATGCGTGGTAAGTCAACAACGAAGGGGTGGTGACTGGCCGAACGTCTGGTTGTCCGACGGTGGAACGGAGAGGGAGGAATTAAATTATGCAATTCCTGCGCTCACTCTCCGAAATGCATCCTGTAGAAAACCGAAAGGCTGGCTACTTTGCGCCTAAAATTGGTTTTAACTAAATTCGGGTCTCTTAGCACGTCTTTCCATTCAGTCCAAAGCTGCTAGATATAAATCGAAAACTTTGTTAGTATATCTAGTAACGCGGACGAAGTTGCGGTATCCGCTAGTTAATAAATATTTTTCGTTTTACAGATGTATAGGTTCAACGCAGCATCTGAAGAATCTGTACGGGGCTGGGTACACGTTGGAAATGAAGATTGGGCGGAACCATCAGAAGGCCTCGGTAAGATAATATGTGAACTTATTTTTTTTTCTTCTATATCAAACGTTTAATACGTATTTTTCGCGTCACGTGTAATTATTGTTTCAGCACATCTTTCTTGTATTCTTTTAAACTCGTCAGTTTTTGACAATCATGTCCACCAAGTTTATTTTATGATGACTGCATATTAAAGACTATATTATGTTCCCCGGGCAAGTATAGCAAATCGAAATATAAATCGAATAATTTGTCAAAATTCGACACACAATACAACAAGAATTTTTTTTTATAGAATAAGCGTGACAAACGAGCACACAGTCCACCTGATGGTAAGTGGTTGCTGTGGCTCATAGACATCTACATCTATCTTCGTTTGCGAATTAAAATGCAGATGCGTTGTCACCCGTGAGGACTAAGATGGAATGCCACTTTTCCAGTAAAAAGGGTCAGCTATATTATGGTTGTAGCACGAATGGGTCAGCTCGACCAGGGAAGGACCACGCTCTCACAGAATACCAGCGTAAAATAGCAGCTTAACACTGCTTTGTTTCGTATGGTGAGTGTAGAGAACCGGAGACCCATTTTACTGGAAAAGAGGCATTCCATCTTAGTCCTCACGTGTGACAACGCATCTGCATTTTGATTCGCAAACGAGGATGGATGTAGATGTCTATGGGCCGCAACAACCACTTACCATCAGGTGGGCTGTGTGCTCGATTGTCACCCTATCCTATAAAAAAAAATCGTGTGGCTCAACCACTCCACGTACAGAACGTATGATTTTTAGAACCGCGGTTGCTCGAATCACTGCCACAGTTACCGTCGCCGACGACAATGTTGCCAGATTTTAAAATTTTGCTGAATTTTAAGCAACTGTAGTAAAAAAAAAACATATTTTTATGTCTTGTGTTTGTTCTTTTAAATCAATCTAATAATCTCTTTGAGGTAACTATGTGCTACTTTCGAATCGAACAGGGATTTTTCATATATTATATAGGCTGTAGCTTAATCTTTTTCTCTGTTTCAGATGTTAGATTCGGATTTATCAATGTCACCATCTCCATTGAGGTCCGACGAAAACTCACCATCTTTAGGGGAAGCTGACGAAGGTTTGTAATTTCAATAGACGTATATTTCTTCTACTTTTGCTTCGCCTTCTTTTTACTTATCCGAACGTAACTGTTCACTGTTAAAATAACTTACCGTAACCATTATGATTGACATGTGAATGAGGGTATCCACGACTTTTTCTGCCACCAGGGCGACGACACTTAACTTTCATAGCGGGAAAAGTTAATTTGGTAGAAAAGGGTAGGGATTAATGTTTCTTGATAAGAAATGGATAAATGAAACTTCGGATATTCCTTAAAGTAGATGAATTAAAATAAAACCTGCCAAGTGCGAATTGGACTCGCGCATGAAGGGTTCCGTACCATCGTACAAGATTTAATACTGTGTATGCAAAAAAACACTTTTCTAGTAGCGGAGCCCCCTTTAATTTTTAATATTTAATATACATTCTGTGAAAATTTCAACTGTCTACCTATTACGGATCATGAGATACAGCCCGCTGACAGACCGGACGGACGGACGAACCGATGGGCAGCGGAGGCTTAGTAATAGGTTTCCGTTGGTTACCCTTCGGGTACGGAACCCTAAAAAGTAAAAAAATGTGTATATATTAAACAATACAACACTGAGACTTTTGTCCCAACTAGCGGTGTCTGGTGAGCGTAAAATTATTATCCTTTATTGACAATAACAGTACCAGATGTCTTGCGCCTTTGACGGTGCTCCTCGTTGCTGGTCTGGGTTCTTAAGTCCAACCTAAACGTGATAGGGATACCACCATTTAGAAGTCTTTAGATTATTTGGTATATCCCATAGTCACGCACACTCTCCGAAATTTATCTTATAGAACACCAAAAGGCTGCATTGCATCTGTGCTAGAGACTGGCAAGACTGGTTTTAACCAGATTGAAATTACTAATAAACCTCTTATCACACTTTTCTATTAATTCCAAAGCTGCAAAGTGGTAATGTGTAAAATCAGCTCATACTCAACTCAACTACCCAGACCCAACGAATAACTGAAGGCGGTCAGTGTATTACAATGAAAGAGCGGGCTTTATTTTCATAGCATCACTAGAATAAAAAGCTTTCCTACAGAAAAACTCATTTTTGGTTCATCTTATAAAAAATACAATCCTTTTTATAAAATTGAAGTGACAGTCTACCTGATAGTTGTGTAGTCCATGGACACCTGCCGCTAACTTCAAACAAAGAAGGCTTCAACAAATGTGTAATCACCACTGAAGGCCAAGATCAAAGAGTATAGTAACTGTCCTATAGAAGGCATGATTTAACGCCTCACAAACTGTTCTTATACTGGCTCTTTATATTATTTTTTTTAATTGGCTTTACGGCTCTGGGTTCTAGCCCTTATGAGCCTAGACTGGCTCTCTATAACTTTCACATTAACACAGTGTAATACAAGCACTGTTGATTTGTGGTAGAAATATGTAAGAGAGTCACGTGATGATGAAAAATTATTTCAATTTGGCATGAATGTGAATACGGTTGTGTGTGTGTGTGCAGGGGTATCGGGTGGGGGCTCGGCGGCGGCGGAGGCGGAGGCGGAGGGCGAGGCGGAGGCGGTGGACGCCAGCATCCACACACCGCTCGTCGCCGGCACGCCGCCGCAGCGCCCGCTGCACCATAGGTCACTCTATTTTATTTTTATCTATATATGAGTCAACCGCCCAGCTTTGACTGGATACAATATATTGGAACGAAGTTCCTTATCGGACGGTACGGGTTTGGCGGATGGGAGCTAGGCGACAAAAAGTGTAAGATTTTTTCGTCACTACCCCTTGTGTCATAGTGATTTTTTTATAGGATAGGGTGAGAAACGAGCACACAGTCCACCTGATGGTAAATGATTGCTGTGGCCCATAGACATCTACATCTATCCTCGTTTGCGAATCAAAATGCAGATGCGTTATCACCCGTGAGGACTAAGGTGGAATGCCTCTTTTCCAGTAAAAAGGGCCTCCGGCCACCTGCACTCACCAAGCGAAACGCAGTGGTAAACCTCTACTTCACGCTGGTATTCTGTGAGGTCGTGGTACCACCCCGGTTTGAGCCGGCCCATCCGTGCGACAGCAAAAGCTGCCACGTGGCTCTACCACTGTCAAATGTGTGTATTTTATTTTAAATGACGCTTCGTTTTAATAGACGCTAGTAATACATTTATTTGTATTTGTTAATCAATAATATAATACGTTTATCAATAATAAGAAACTTCGTTCCAACCGAATGTTCCACGACACTCACGCATGTTTTAATTAATGTGGCATTATTTAAGCTTGAGATAAATTTGAGTATTTTTTTTAATATTCAAATTATTGGATAAAATATAATCTAGATCCCTCCTGACGTTACTGTCTATCTGTTAGTAAAGTTTCGTAACAATCAGTTTAGCCATTCCGGACAGACAAACAAAAATTTAAAAGGAGTTGTTTATGTCTTAATAGCATGCAAATAATCCCCTAAGCTTAATAAGAGCCAGTTATGGCATGCCTTAAGCACGAAGCGCGTAAGAATTTTTTTTATAGAATAAGGGTGACAAACGAGCACACAGTCCACCTGTTGATAAGTGGTTGCTGTGGTCCATAGACATCTACATCTATCTTCGTTTGCTAATTAAAATGCAGATGCGTTCTGCATTTTGATTCACAAACGATGATTGGTTGCTGTGGTCCATAGATGTGATCTATGGACCACAGCAACCAATTACCATCAGGTGGACTGTGTGCTCATTTGTCACCCTATCCTATAAAAAATTTTAAAAAAATTTTACGGATTTTATCGCGTATATTATTTTATATTCCATACGCTTCAAGCACTTTACAGCACCCATGGTCACGGGGGGGACTGAGGTGTATGAAGGTACAGGAGGAGGTAGCCGTGGTTAGCTATGACATTGGGACGTCATACACCTCAGTTCCCCCCGTGATCATAAAATAATATACGCGATAAAATCCGTAAAATTAATTTTATTTAAATCATATCATCATTCAGGTAACACCATAAATTCCAAGACGTATTTAAATTATATATATATATAATTAAATATATACAGTGGCGGTCACATAATTAAAGACACTCTTCTGTGTGACCACATACAACAGTATTACAGACGTGTAGAGCATGAAGCAAATACAAAGAGGAGACGTCGTAATTCAATTTCACTATGAAACAACGCGTGACAATTTGCGGGGTGAGGGGATGCAAAGCCCCGCCCCCTACACTATCTACATCTACCGATAAATAGTAAAACTACTCGAATCTTTCCATATCAATGTTGCAATGTAGCTTAGCTACCTTGACGGTAGATGGCGGCATATCCACAAAATGTTATAAACTAAAAAATAATATTTTGGCGATTAAAATTTCTTTATGTCTGAATGCAAAACAAATTTTAGCACCTTCGTATGATTATTTTATCATTATTGAGCTCTACGTACCTTTATATTTTTAGTTCACAGGACACAAAGTGTCGCCATCTAGTGTCGAATATATTTAATTATATTTGAAAGCCAACACAAAGAGATTTTTAATTTTATAATATCCATAGCATCGGAGCGTCTATCTCATGAAGCAAATACATTCAGACAAAGAAATTTTAATCGCCAAAATAATATTTTTATAGTTTTAATAATAATATTGGGAACAGGCCGCCATCTATTGTCAAGTAAACCTCATAAAAAATTACAAAAAGACAGGGCCGCAATTAGAATTCAATTATTTTACCCAGTAACCCAACATTTAATATTAAAATGAAGGAAATTGTACTTGGCTGATTTTTACGAAATGTTTAAGTTATATTTAACTGACATTCTATATGCAAAGAATCACTTAAATACAATTTAAATATGTTTATCATTTCATGAAAGTCAACCTTCAAAAAATATTTATTTAATCCATAAAATAAAGTCTCTTTGAAACTAAATATACTATGTTCAATATTAAATAGGATATTTAATTTGGAACTAAATATCCTATTTATCTCACTAATATTATAAAGGCGAAATTTTGTGTGTTCTTTCTGTCTCCTTGAGCTTATTCCACACTAAGTATGTACTGTATATGTGTAATTTTTTCACGCAGAAATGGCTGGACTATCATTTATCTGTGGGTTATACTACTTAATATCTCTGAGGGAGAACAAATAATAGACAAATTATTATAATTAATATAATTTTATTTACAAATCAATTAAAATATAAATATTTTATTCCAAATTAGGCATCCGAATGCACTTTTTGAATGCCAATCTAAGAACATTAAATTGTATTTAAGTGATTCTTTGCATATAGAATGTCACTTAAATATAACTTAAACATTTCGTGAAAATCAGCCTAAGTACAATTTCCTTACTTACTTACTTAATCTTCACGCACAATCCCTGACGGGGTAGCCAGAGAGAACAGATCGCCAAGTGTCACGATCCTTACAAACCTCTTTCGCTTCTTTCAGATTCATTATCTTCTTCATGCATGCACGTCTAGGTATCCGAGTACTTTTGACCCTACCCTCTTCGAGCAATTTGCTCACATGGTCTTCGAAAGTTAGTCTCGGTCTACCTCGACACCTTTTAATATTAACTTTCGCGCTATATATTTTCTTCACCATTCGGTCTTCACTCATTCGCTCAACGTGCCCAAACCACCGAAGCACGCCCTTATCAATTTTTGTGATAAGGTCATCTTTCAAACCTGCCATATTGCGAATCTCTTCGTTTCGCTTTCGGTCGGCCATGGTAACGCCGCACATTTTACGAAGAGATCGCATCTCCACTGCATTCAACTTACTTTTATGCTTCTTCTGGCATACCCAGGTTTCGCTGCCATACAACAAAGTCGGTACCAACACTGCGTTATGTATTGCAAGGCGTGCACTCTTCGCTACGCCTTGCCTTTTGACTAACGCAGTCAGGGCACCATTGACTTTGTTCCCGGCAGCGACACGCCTGTCCACATCTAAATCACATCTTCCATCCCGGCTAAAAGCACTCCCCAAGTATACAATTTCATTTACCTGTTCTAGACATTCCTGATTTACCCATATTTCACACTTCGTTCTCTCTTCGTCCCTTTCAAATACCAGAACCTTAGTTTTATTAGCATTCAAACGGAGACCTTTAATTTCACATTCCTCTTTCATACACGTGACTAATGCCTGCAGTTCTGCCTCTGATGGTGCAATAAGCACTGCATCATCAGCATACAGCAGACAATTTACTTTAATGTCACCCAATTTCACACCCAAACAACTATCTTTCAGCTTCTGTAAACAGCTGTCGAGATACAGTATGAACAGCCAGGAAGACATGACACAACCCTGCTTTACGCCCGTTTGGGCGTTAAACATGGGTGACAGGTCATGCCCTACCCGCACACAGGCTTTACAGTCACAGTAAAGAGACTGCACAGCCCTTAGCAATCGACCATCCACACCATACCCCGGCAACAGTTCCCACATTTTCTTCCTTACAACCTTATCAAATGCTTTCTCAAGATCCACAAAAGCACAGAAAATCTTCTGGTTAGCAGCCAGAAGCTTCTCCGTGATCATGCGGAGAGAAAACATTTGATCCGTGCATCCTCTTCCAGGTCTAAATCCGCATTGTGCCTCCCATAGAAATCTTTCCGATTTCTCTTGCATCCTACGTGTCAAAACCTTCGAGTAAACTTTACTTGCTAAACTGGTCAAGCTGATCGCCCGATAGCACCCGCAGTCAAAATGTGAACCTTTACCTTTATATAAAGGCACAATGACTGCGGATCGCCAATCATCCGGGACATCCCCCGTCCGCCAGCACAAATTGCACAGCAGATGAAAGCTGTCCCAGACGCGAGGCCCACCATACTTGACCATTTCAGCAGTAACTCTGTCTAGTCCCGCAGCCTTACCACATTTCAAACTTCGAATCGCACGTTCAATCTCTTTCATCCTGATGACCTCAGTGTCATCGAGGTCCGGGTCTGGCGTACCAGTCACGGCGTCATCCCCGGATCCCTCGCTAAGATCATCACACGCATACATTTCTCTATAAAATTCGCTCCATCGCTGCATGACGTCCGATTTTTCTGAGAGGACGTCATTAGTTCTCGAAAGCACTTTGTTCATTCTTAAGGCCGTCGCACCACTTCGGGTCCTTCCAACCTCTTTCCAGAAGAGTTTGGAGTTCTCCTTGAAGTTGTGCGACAACCTTTCGTCCGCTTCCATTCTACACCTTTCACGCACTTCCTCAATCAGTGCTTTCGTGTGAACTTTCTGCAGCCTATATCTTTCTTTCATCTTCTCTCTCATATCCTTATCATTACTAGAGGCCAAGTAGTCTAACCATGCTTTCTTCTTCTTCTTTACAGGTTCTTTCACTTCATCATTCCACCATGCATCTCTTCTTTTACTACTGCTTCTTTTTATTGTTCCACACACTTCTTCCGCTGCACTTACCATTCCATCCCTAAGGTTCTGCCAAGTTCTTTCTACACATTCTTTTCTGCCATCGATGGTGTCAAGCTTTTCGGCTACCCTCGCATGATATTTGTCCCTAGTATCCGCTTCCTGAAGCTTTCAGCTTCGGATGCGACAGACCGACTGTGGTTCTGTTACTGCCGTCCGGTAGCGCCAATCCGCGAACAGACCCCTAAA